TCCCACAGCAGTGTCCCACATGAGTCCAGATAAAAACCCAGAACTCATGACAATGCCTCCCACGAGTCCAACTGGAGGTCCAGAGCCCACCGGAAGGACTCAAGCCAGTCTCTTTTATGGATCCATGCTGGGAAGGCACAAAGGTCAGCGGTGGAAACCAGAAAATCCATGCCAGTGGGGTAAGGAGTTGTGCTAGGGATGAGGGTTCTACGCTGGAGTTGAGAAGTCACACAACAAAGACCAGGGCTGTCCTGAAAGGCACCACAGACACTGAGGCCCTGAGCTCCTCTGACGACAATCACAGTCAGGTAGGGGCCAGGAAGCAAGCGTGATGAGTTCATCCTGGAGACCAAGTGGCACAGGTCTTCCCCTTCGGAGCCAGGAAGCAATGCTTGATGTGAGGACCAAGTTTCTCCAGGAGAATCAACAGCTCAAACAGCAGCTCATAGGAGAACCCACAATGCCTCAACACAACAACACAGTAATGCCTTAACACCTCAACCCTCCCTTCTTCTCCATCTATTTATGCTGGCAACTTTCCTCAGGTGGAGCATCTTCTCTCAATGCCATGCTGATGTAATCCAGCTGGCATTAAGTTGACCACCAGTTCTTAATCCATAATAGTCCTTAAATAGTTATCTCATCTAGTTTGGAGACCAGAGTCTTGATTGCAATTGTATTTCATTCAGAACCTTATGAAGATAAAAATATTACTTTAAAATGAATCAGCAAGGGGTAGGCAGAGAATTCATGAACAAAAAAGGCAAACTGCACTGGAAACACTTCAAAGAATCAACAACTAGGATCACATATTATTGAAAAGTTTCTGCACTTCAAAGGAAATCACCAACAGAGTAAAAAGAAAACCCACAGAATGGGAAAGAATTATAGCTAGCATTCCCTCAGCCTTATATCCAGAACATATAAAGAATTGAAAAATACAGGGGCTGGAGGTTTAGCTCAGTGGCATAAGCGCCTGACCTGCAAGCAGGCAGTCGTGAGTTCGATCCCCAGTACCGATAAAAAGGAAAAAAGACAAAAAAAAAAAAAAAAAAAAGAATTGAAAAATATAAAGCCCCCCAAATTCAAAGACCCTCTCCAAAAATGGGCATCTAGGATGAACACACATATCTCAGATGAAGATACACAAATGGAAAATAAATACATGAAGAAATGTTCACCATCACTGATCATTCAAGAAATGCAAATTAAAACAGCATTGAGATTTCATCTCACTCTGGAAAGAATGGCTGCCATAAAGAAATCAACTGATAACAAATGTTGGCGAGGCTGTGGGGAAAAAGGAACACTGCTCCATTGTTGGTGGGGATGTAGACTGGTGCAACCACTGTGGAAATCAGTATGATGAATTCTCAGAAGACTAGGATTGGAAGTTCCATTCAATCCAGCTATTCCCCTCCTGGATATTTTCCCAGAAAAACTGAAAAGTTTATATCATAGTGAATTTGTGCAACCGGGTTCATAACAGCACAATTTGTAATAGCTAAATCTTGGAAACAACCAAGATGCCCATCAACTGCAGAGTGGATGAAAAAGATGTGGTATTTTTATACAATGGAATATTACTCAGCTATAAAAGGGATGATCTTGAGGCCTTCAAAGGCAAATGGAGACAACTTGAGGCTATCCTCATTAGTGAAATAAACAAGAATTATATTTATAAATATCACATTGTATCTCTAATGTTAAAAGTAATAAGAAATGTAGGGGTAAGAAAACCCAAAATGTGTAATTGCTATTGTAAAAAAGAGAAGATTAGAAAGGGCTCTAAAGGATATAACTGCATGTATGTTTAAGTATATAGGATTGATAACCATATTACTAAGTTTTTGTTGGATAGTTGACAGAGCTGTTTGCAGTCTCACTGTTTGAATGTGCACTTTGTATACTTCACTTTTGTAACTTGAACAACTATTTGTAAGAGGACAATATGTAATTATCAACTAGTGATTTCTTACCATTAATTTTTTGAAATTATGTATTATTTCTACCCTTTTTCTGTTTTGTTTTTTCTTTAAATATAAAAAGAATCAGAAGTTACAAAAGGCTACTAAAAATACTCAAATTTAACTTAAGTATATTTATATGGATTGTTAACAGATAATAAATAGTAGGTTTATAATTCTTCCTTACTAAAAAAAACCTGGTAAATATTTTTATGTTTAACTAGAATTTTTACTTATATTTTGATTTCTCTTGTTATTTGAACTTTCAAAAATGGTTTATTGCCTTTAAAATATATACCCAAAGGCTCAGTAGAAAAAAATGACAAATATGTTAGCAGGACAATTTAAAGAATAATTATTCCTAGTTAAAAATCAAGTGAAACATGCCAGACTGGAACTCAGAATTCAAGATCCTGAGTTCATCTCCAGCACACACACACACACACACACACACACAAATGAATCAAATGTTCAGTCTTTTTTTTTTTTATTTAAGAGGAAAAAGAGAAAAACACAAAACAAACCAAAGCGGCGTAAGGGTACACGCAATACAGAACTACAAAAACAAAACAAAACAAAACAAAACAAAACAAAACAAAAAAACATAACAGTAAGAAATCACCTGCTAGTAGATTACACACTATCTTCTTGAAAATAGTTCCTCAAATCACAGTATCAAAGAACACAAGGTGGACATTCAAACAGGGAGACTGCAAACAGCTGTGTTCAATGTTCCAAAAACATTGATAAAGTCAGCTATTTAACACCCCCAAACACACTTGCTGTTATATCCGTTAGAGCTCTTTTTCTTTTTTTTTTCCCTCTCTTTTTTACAACAAAATTTACACATCTTGGATTTTATTACTCCTTAGTGCTTATTACTTTCTTTGGGGGGGGGAAGAATACAGTCAAATATGGTAAAACAAAGCTGTCAGTCAATACCAAGGATAGACATAGCACATGGTGTAGAACAGAGTACAAGTTTATCAACAATGGTTATCAACGTTGTCCCTTGTTTCCTTAAAAAGAATTGTCTATCTCATTAGATATTATAAAGTTGGACAAAACAGTAGAGAACAAGACCAATAAAACTTAGGCATTGTAAACATTACAGGACTTCCAAAGAAGACAATAGTCAAACCAGAATGGGTATCTTAGTGAATCTTATTGTCTTCAAAGTAGTTGCCTATGTCTTCAAACTTGATACTATCATATAGAATGGAACAGAGTCTAATCAGTCAAAACAAGATCGTGGGAGTACTACAGGACTTCAAAACAAGTTAATAGGAAATCGAAAAGAGTTACTATTTATATATCCTAATTTTTTTGAATTTTTTCTTTAATTAAGACAAACATAAGAAATGACTAAATAATTTTTTTGAAACAATAAGGGGGAGATTGAGATAAAACAGGACATAACAATATAACAATAGAGGTCACAGCATGACTGTTTCAACAACCTAGTACTTCACCACCTTATAACCTGACTTAATAGTAGTTACCATAGTGTCTTTTTCCTTGAAATATTTGGATAAAACTTCATATACTCTAGCTTCAAATATTTTCATATCAAGAAGCCCAGAATAAAGCCTTTCTAATTAATGAGTGAAAACTTTATAAGGCTTCAAGGCCACCTAATGGGGAATCATGATTACCACATATTTTTATATATTTGAATCATTATTTACATTAGGGAAACTATTCGGTATTCACACATGCGAGATTGATTTATTTCACTAATGAGTATGGTCTCAAGCTGCGCCCATTTATTGATAAATATCTCAATGTGATCCTTCTTTATAGCTGAATAATACTCCATTGTATAGAAATACCACAACTTTTTTATCCATTCCTCAGTTGATGGGCACTTGGGTTGTTTCCAAGATCTGGCGATTACAAATTGTGCTGCTATAAACATAGGTGCACATATATCACTGTGGTATGATGCTTTCAGTTCTTCTGGGAATATGCCTAGAAGTGGAATAGCTGGAATAAATGGGATTTCCAGTCCCAACTTTTTGAGAAATCTCCAGACAGATCTCCACAAAGGCTGTACCAGTCTACACTCCCACCAGCAGTGCAGGAGAGTTCCTTTTTCCCCACAGCCTCTCCAGCATTTGTTGTCGGTTTTCTTGATCCTGGCCATTCTTTCAGGAGTGAGATGGTATCTCAGTGTGGTTTTAATTTGCATTTCTCTAATGACCAATGATGATGAGCATTTTTTCATGTATTTATTTGCCATTTGCATTTCTTCATCTGAGAATTGCATATTCATCTCAGATGCCCATTTTTGGATTGGATCTTTGAATTTCGGAGGTCTGAGTTTCTTTAATTCTTTATATGTTTTAGACAAGAGGCCCTTGTCTGAGAGAGAGTTCACTAAAATCTTTTCCCAGTTTGTGGGTTTTCTTTTCACTATGCTGGAGATTTCTTTTGACATGCAGAAACTTTTTAATAAGAAGTGGTCCCAGTTATTGATTCTGGGAAGTATTTCCCGTGCGGTTTGAGTCCTGTTCATGAATTCTTTACCTACTCCTATGTCTCCAAGGTTTCTACCTATTTTGTCTTCCAATAGATTTAGTGTTTCTGTTTTAATATTCAGATCTTTGACCCATTTAGATTTTAATTTCAAATGTTCAGTCTTACTACTGAGGAAAGAAATGATATATTTTTAAAAATTGTTCAATTACTTTGCACCTATGAAATTGTTAGTGTTTCAAGCATGACTCTTATCATCCAACAGTGATATTGGGATCAAGTGCAGTGGTGAAGAGAATGGTTTCCAAAGACATGCAGACAAGATAGAAAGTCCACTTCTTCCACTTAACAGTTTTATGGCCTTGATTAAGTCATTATTCTCACTGAGCACTGATTTTCCCATTTATAAAATGAGGCGTAACAATATGAGCTTGCTTTCACTGGTTATGTATTAGTCCCTATTCTTTTCAGCTTCTTCTTACAAACTAACTCAAAGCTTAATTATAGTAGAATGATACTTATAGTGTTAAGGACATTTTTATAATGTTAAGAATATTTTTGCCTTGATATACATAGTATTTCTGTAATCTCAGTCCTCGGTGTTTTCTGATGAGCTCTCCTGTCTCTCACAGTACTGAAAAAAAGAGAATGTTTTATATTTTGTACTTTTAAGTAGGGTGAATAATTCTGACTTCAAGCTGAAACTGCCTCTTCTAACTCACATCATGTTATACATTTCGAAGAGTTCTCTATGGTTGAAGAAGCTCAAGATTCTTTTTTGAGCCATTTCTCACTCTATGATAGGCACCACATACAAAGTGTTGACAGACCAAAGTTACTTGCAGAGATGTTTTTGTAGAAATTGCTTCTTTGGAGGAACTCCTAAAACTGTAATGTACTTTATCTGTTTTTCATGAAGCATTAACAACCATATGAAAGCACTACCATATCTCCTGAGGATGTTACACATTATGTTATTTAGTGGTGGATATGAAAAATAACTTTTAAAATTTAGTATCAGAAAGTTTCTCTCCTCAAAAACCCATGTGCTTCTTTGTATAGATAATTACCCAAATTCCCTTTTCCATCATCTAGTTCATACCTATCTTTAATATTTAGCCACTGCTTCTTCTATTGACTTTATTTACTACCTTATGCATTTTTGAATGTTATTTCCATTTTTATTTTGAATGTATTGTTTTCATTGAAATTCACATCATTACATCTCATAAATGTTGATATGCTTTGTTTTCATTCTAATTTAGTTTGAGGCATATTCTTTTTCCCCATAAATTTTTCTTTGATTTATAGACCATTTGGAAGTTTGTTGTGTGATTTATAGATACTTGGAGTTTTGAAAGTTATTTTATTGTTGCTTATAATTTAATTCCAGTGTGGTAAAAGGTTATATTGCTGCATAATTTCAGTACTGTCCAACTTACTGGTAGTTGTTTTATTTCCCAGCATACAGTTTTTTAGTGACTGTACTGTGCTTTTGAAAACAATGTTTATTTTACAAAGAGTGCAGTGTTTTAGAAATATGAAATAGTGTAAGGTGATTGTTTTCTCAGCCTCTATTTGTACTCTGTTTTTAAGCTATTCTATCAACTTCTGAGAGAGATATACTAAAATTTCCAATTGTGGTTATGTAGTTTCTATTTCTGCCTTAAATTTTGTGAATTTTGCTCAGTGTAGTTTTAGGCTTTCTTATTTAGTGCATATACTTTATAATTGTTATGACTGCTGATGAACTGGCTGGCAGAGAAACCGATTTTATTATTTTGAAGGAAAATAACTTTCTCAGAGTACTATCTGAAAATTGATTCCCCATTTTATAGCTATATACCAAATGTTAAATATTACCTCCTCATCATTCTTTTAATATTAGCAACAAGTCATGTTCAATGTACATAGATGGCCTCTACTAGGTTAAAAATTCTTACGGTTTACAGTTTTATCCCCTGAAAATGATCAAGTGAACATGCTTCTATTTCTTTTTTAAATTAAATTTTTAGTACATTTTATACATAATGTAAATAATAATGTGATATAATGATCACATTCATCATAGGGAATTTGTACCTATACATGATATATCTTGATTCTTTTTTCCCATTCCCCCCACCCTTTACCTCTCTTTCCTGCATTATTTGCAAAAGCTTTTTCCCATTTTTTCCCCTTCTTTCCTTTCTCCTTCCTCTCTCTCTAGTTCTCCATATTTGAACATTTTCTTCCTATTTCACAATATCTATTATACATTTTGGTCCTTAATTACACTTTTTTCTCCTCTCACACCAGAGAAACAAGGCAATAGTTATACATGTGTGCCTTATTTATTTCACTGACTACTATGGTCTCATGGTGCATCCATTTGTTTAGAAATGTCTCAAGTTCAGCCTTCTTATTGGCTGAGTAGTACTCCATTGAATTGAAAAAACACATCTTTATCCATTTATTGATTGATGGGTATTTGGACATTTTATTTCTCACAGAATAACTTTGCATGCATCTGAATACATTGCACAAATCCATTTCTTATTGAAATTGATTATAATAACAAAGATATAGTTGGTATTTTACATAACTGAAATTCACTAGTATTTATTTTCATAGTTTTTATCATTTTCATTTTTCTCTTAGGAGACAAAATTGATGTTAGCAACCTAGATACCATTCTAGGAAATATGAGGATGGAGATACCAGGTAAAGAATTTTGTGAGATTCTGAAACTGTTCATCAATTGAAGGTAACATACACACAGATATGGCATACATCTTCTGTATTCTGAGAAGTCTTTCAAGAATGAAAATTTTTTGATATGAAATTCATATAGAAAGAGCCGCAGAAATGACTAAAATTAATAAAAATTACTTTAGATGTTCTACTTAAGAATAAATTTTATGATTTTTAAAAGTTTAATTTGAAGAGTACCGGAGAAACAAGGACATATATTCACTATTTTAGTTTTTTACAAGTAAGTATATATTTGTAGAAATACATTGGCTGTTATTATCTCTGTCATTGATTTAATACATGCAATATGTCTATGCACTGTGTCAGACATTGAGATTATACAATTTTAACAAACATCATTTTGATTCTCTGGGTGATTATAATCTAATAGGAAAGCAGAATGACCATGCTATGCCCCTAACAGTTGGCTGGAAATAGATGTTATTTCTCAAGGTGCAGAGGAAATGAAAGAACACCAGAGAATGCTTCAGCAGGTTTGACTTTTAAGCTGCAATGACCATTATATATATCCAGTGAGATACATCAAGAAAGAATTGATGCAGAACCTTCTGTTGGCTGGCAATCCAGGGAGAGCAGCTGACTGTATGGCAAAGAGTCTCTAGTAAGGTACACCAGCCTAGAAAACTAGGGAGACGTAGCCAGGAAGGAAGGGGGATACAGCTCAGGCAGGGGGAGAGATGGTCATCTAATATCTACGTCTAACAAAGGTATCAACTTTTCCTTGCCAACTGGAGAAAGTACTCAGTTGTGTGAAAAGAAAATACAGAAGCAAAAACAAAACAAGAAAGGAAGAACAGGATCTAACTTCCTTAGATTAACTAAAAGTGAAAATCACCATGTGATTTTAAATACCAGACTTAAAGATTTCTGAAGCTTTAATACCAACAACAGTCTGTTCAGATTCTAGTCTGCCCTCATCTGTGAGTCAGATGCTTAGCTGGGACTGTTTTTATTGGCGTTTTAGCTTGCAGTTGGCCTTTGCTTTGCCCTTTAGCTTGACTGCCCATCTGCTTTTGGGATTTTGACAGAATGTTATCTGGTAATCTGATTTGATGAGGCCCCCAAAAGGAGGCCACATTTTAATGACCTGTAACTGTCACACATGAAGAATTTCTTTAGCCTACAGGTAATAGTCTCTGAAAAAATAAATGCACACCTAGGAAATCTTATATAAACTCTGCTTCTTTCACTGTACAATAAAAAATGTTTCATTATTTTTGCCTGCTGTTCTGGAGATGTGGAAAATTTGGTGACTGTCAGAGACCTTTCTTCATAGATACCAGCGCATCCATTTCTTCTCTACTCTCTTCTTGCCATAGTTTCTCAAAAATTCTGTGCAGGATCCTTTTAGGATTCCTAATGCCGTATAAGGCAGAAGTTTCACCCTTTTGGTTGATATACAAATATTAGAAGGGACAGCTCACTGCAATTGATTACTTGAAAGTTTTACTTTTGTTAGGTAATAAGGAACTAAAGATATGTACCCCATCTTCCTTACATTAGTGGAATAGGCATGTCTGCTCTCCCTCATCTAAAATGGAACTTACAGCTTTCTGAAAGAAACTGAAAAGCTTAATACTGATTTTTTGGTGTCTGTGATTCATTTCAATAGTATCTTGTTTTATAATTGATTCATTATCTCCTAGAAGCAAGAATCTTCATTAATAATTCTTGAGGACTTCCCCACTTCCATGTTTTACATTTAGTTAGAATTAAATGAGGTCATATTTTGTATCAACATGTCACAAAATTGCTGTTTAACACTGATGATTTTATAAAGTTCATGTACATTTGACTTACTTTTATGATCTAATTAGTCCCTTATTTTATAGCTGATAATAAAGGGGAGAAGAATTGGATGAAAGAGAGAAAGGCATCTATAGGTGAGTGAAAGCTTGTCACTGAATAAGTGGGCAGTAGTAGAAATTAGGGCTAGAATATTGAATAAGTAAAATGAATGTTAAACATTTACATACTATCTGTGGTAATATTTTATAGATACAGATATAGTCGTAGATATATATAATTTTTGGTGTCAGGAATTGAACTTAGGACCTTGCATTTGCCACACAGGCACTGTATCTTTTGAGAAATGTTTATGAGGTCTATTAGATTACTTTCATTTGCTTTTTTTTATTAATGAGATGTTTGAGTTTATTACATGTTTCAGATATTAACCTCATTAGATACGTAGTTTGCAAATATTATCTTTATTTCATAAATTATCTGTCCATTTTGATTGTTTCCTTTGCTATGCCCATACTTTGTTTCTAATGCCATTTTTATATTTTTGTTTTCCGTGCTTTTAGAGTATTATCCAACAGCTTTCTCCCTGAAACATTTCTTCTATATTTTCTTCTAATGGCTTCAAAGTATTAGGTCTCACACTTAGTATTTAATCCATTTTAAGTTGATCTATGTATGGAGACTGAGATCTAGGTTCATTTTTCATGTTCTACAATTTCCTCTATTTTTCTGAGGCTTATTTTTCCCAATGCATATTTTTAACACTGTTCCATTGGTTGTGTATGTATCTTTCTTCTTTCCCTCAATTTTGTGAAATATTTTTCCTACATCTATTGAAGTGTTCAAGGTTTGCTTTTCTTATACAGTTCATAAAATAAAATATATTGGTTAGGTTTGTAAATATAATACACACGATTTTTACTGAAATAACAAAACCAGGCATCCATATATGATGTTAACTCACATGCAATTAAGAATTAAAGTAAATTTCTTCACACTAGTAAGGAAAACTAAGCATACCAATAAGGATTGGGGATGTAGATCAATGGCAGAGTGCTTTGCTTAGCATACATGAGGCCCTAGGTCCAATCCTTGTTACCACAAAAACACACACCAGATTAGAAAAAAAGCACTGATTTTCATGGTCATATTTAATTTCAAAGATAATACTTCGAAGAGTATACCAAAGAAATGTTAAAATAACAAGTGAATTTAGCAAAAAAATATCATTAGCCAATTATCACAATCTACTGATGCATAATTACGTAGAGCTATTTCTATTCGACTCCCTGTATTGTATTTAAATTTTATTTTGTTCAGTGATTAGGACGAACCTAGGGCTTTCAGTATCCCAGCCTGTCTGTGTTCTATTGAACAACTTTATTTTTCTCTATGGCAGTAAGCACAGTATTTTCATACCTCTAAATTATTTTTAAAAATCACAACTTTTTGTTATTTGCTTTTCTATGTCCTTAAAGAAAAAAATTAAATTTTGAAACCAGGACAAATTCCTAGATGATATAGGGTTTGAGTTTACATGTAAGGAATTTAAAAACCTATTAATCATTTCCCATACAGTGTATATCATTTCTGGGTCCATATTTTAAAATATATTTTGTTAGTCTTTATCAATTTCATAAAATATTGGGTTTTAATGTGATATTTTGGTCAAAGAATACAAATTTTCAGTTAGACATGAGTAATGAATCCTGAATAATCTCTTATATATACATCATGGTGATTGTAGTTAATTTTTTATATACTTAAAAACTGCTAAGAGTAAATTTTGGGTTATTACCATGAAGTTCTGTGAGACAATCCTGTGTTAAATAGCTTGGTTTAGCCATTGTATGCATCAAAACTTTGTTACATATTATAAATGCACATACATTTCTCTTTTCAATTTAACAAGTAATTTAAAATGTAAAAGATTTTCTGTTTACATCAATTTTTATAATTTTAAGTTACAGTGCTTTTGGTTTGGCTTCCCATATTTTATTACTTCTGTTTAAATCTTTTTATTTTTTTTCTGATAGCTGATGGGAAAATAAGCCAGCTTAAGTTGATGAATATCATGCAGACCCTAAAAGATGAGTTAACCATAAGAAAATATAAAACTACACTCTTAAGTTTTTGCAATAATATTTTAACAAAACCTATTGTTTATTCATGCTTATAGGCATGCATACTTATAATATGCAACGTTGGAGAATACACAGGACACATAATAAGGACAAAAGAAAATCTCCAATTTCAAACCAAAGGCAAAGATAATCAATGTCTATATTTTGGTATATTTTTAATCTTATTATATATTTTGCATTGAAATTTTTGGCTTTGGTTTTCTTAGTGTTTATATTTTTTAAGGATAAGAAAGTGCAATACTTATTTTATTGATTGATATATGATTTATGTTCATTGATACTGAGTTCCTTCTATGGGTATAAAATATATACTACTGTGATATTTGACAACTTTGTGATATCTTTTATATCTCTTTCTAAAATAATTTACTCTGGCTTTTATTATCTAGATATTCACAGAAACACTGATAGTATAAATCTTCAGTAACTAAATAACTAAGTAGAAGTCTAAAAGAATGAAATGGGATAGAAAGCAGTAAATATTTTGTTCCCAGTACAGGTACTAAACAGTAGCCAAAATAATTGAATTATTTTCTACTTAGTGAAATTTAGTGATGAACAATTATCAGCTTCACATTTTTGGTTTAAAATGGTCATCAGGAGGTATATTTCTGATTTTTGAACAAGGATTAATGATGTCTGGTTCTATTTCTGATTTTTCTGTTTATTTGCTGTGAATTTGGAACAAATTCATTGTGCAGCCTTGCTTTTTACTTTGAAACTGAAAAGTACAACACATAGAAATAGTGTTCACTGTATGTTCTATAAATATATACTTTTACTATCTTTTTTGAGGAGGAGAAATTAATACTAAAAAGCAAAGCAGTGTTCCCGAGAAGATGGAAGTGGAACTCACAAACAATGAATTGCAGAGTCTACAAGAACATTTGCCAGTTGACAGTAAGCATTTCTAGGGTTAATAATATTTTCAGAGAAAGTTAGACTATAAGGATACACTAAAATACAGCTACTCTGCTATACTGGAACTTTGAAATATATTCAGAAAGGTTCAATCTTAAATGTGTCAAAAAATTTTCTTCTCTATTTGAGTAGACATCAAATGATCTGCTCATAGAAGTGGAGAAAGTCAAGAATATCTTGAGATTATCTACTTTCTCTTACCATCCTTAGGAAAAAAGTCTTCTGGAAATTCTGCTTGCATTAATTAATATGGCCATAGGGGTTTAAAGTTAATTTTCATCCTTTTAAATGTGTATTAAAATGAAAATCCAATTAAAATTATTGTCTTCTCTTTAAAAACTTTGGTATTACGGGCAGGCATAAGTAATATCTGAGAATGATTCCTGTGAAGTCACTTAAAAAAAGAAAACAGGTAAAGAAAAATAAAAGAGCAGGTGCAGAAGACTAGAAGGAAAGATGAGGCCTGAAAGACAGCAAGAAGTGTGGGGGAAGAAAAAGTGGCTACCTAGTTAGAGTTTCAACAGTGTCTGCACTAGAAATGGGGACAGGAAGAGCTTAGTGCAGACTGGTTCTCATCCCATCACTGCAGTGTCTTCTTTTCTTTTTTATTATTGCAGTTTCTGATTATGTCAAATCTTAATTTATATTTCAAGTATTATAATAGATTTGATATGTAAAGCATTCTATTGTCTAAATTCTTTTTTTTTTTTAGCCAATGTAAAGGTAGATCTAAATATAATTCTGGATGAGACCAACATTCTTGAAAACAAAGGTGAGTGCAAAATTCAGTAATTTGGTCATTTGTATTTTTACAGAACACTATTCTTTATACTTTTAAATAGGAGCTAACTTATCTGGGCTTTTATAAATCATGTGATTGGAAGTTGCCACTTTATAATAAAGTTGTACATTAGATTAATTCCAATGAATTCATTTGATAGAACGTAAAGCTAGAATTTAGCAAAAAATTGAGCTGATTAATTAAAGTCAATTATTTATATTTCATGACTCCAAGGGGACCTTCCTAAAACATCTAAGTGACTAATTTTGTGATCTTGGGATAAAGATTTCTTGGGTGGGTGACAAAGTGTTCTAAGCATGCAAGAAAAAATAATTGATAAGACTACTTCAAAATTCATAATTTCCCTTTTTGAAAGACACAAGAAGGTGAAAAGACATCACAGAAGAAAATACTACTAAAATATATGGAAAAGATCAATATTCTGAATATTAAGAACTATTATTACTTAGTAATAACACAAATTAATAAAAATTGGCAAAATATTTGAACAAGCATTAGCAGAAGATATATGAATAACCAGTTACTATATGAAAGGATGCTTGTTGTTATTAGCTTCCAGGGAAATGCAATGTAAAGACTAGGTAGATACCACGCTACGTATCTACTAGAATAGCTAAAAGCAAAAAGATTAACAACAAAAAGTTGGCAATAATATGAGCTAATTGGTACTCATACAATTGCTAGAGGGTGTTCTAATCATGGTGGAGACTTGGATGGCAATTTCTTAAAAATCGGAATATAAACGTAAGATTCAGAAATCCCACACATATATTTTTTCAGTGAATGTTCTCAGTGAATGTTCATTTAAGTTTTATTTATAATAGCTAAAAATTGGTAACAACCCTGATGTCTATCAACTCATAAATGAATGAATAAAATATAAGCTATTTAGACAACTGACAGTTACCACAATATAAATGATGAATTTACTGGCGAATGCAACATACTGATGAATTTCAGTCATTAAGCAAAATGAGAAAATGCAGAACAAAACAATAACTAATTTATAGTGCTCTTTTTATAACATTCTAGAGCAAGCAAGGCTATAACCAGAGAGCTTATCAGTGATTGTTGAGGCTTATGTTTTAGAAGAACGGATTGCAAGAAGGCTCACTTTGGCCAGGGATATAGCTCATTGGCACAAGCACCTGCTTGGCTAGTCTGGTACAAAACAAAAAAGCCTTACTTTAACAGGGTTACAGTGACTCTTGTGAGTCACTTAAAAAAAAAAAAAAAAGAAAAGAAAGAGTAGATGAGTAAGAATAGAAGGAAAGATGCCTGGAAGGCAACAAGAAATGTGGGAGAAGAAAAATAGATTAAGTGTGTTGTTTACTTTTTTATCATTGCTAGGACAAAATACCCAACACCCAAAGTTAAAGCGGAAGGGACTTATTTCACTCATAATTTATAGAGGTTTCAGTTCATAATCAACTGATTCCAATGCAGGGCAGCATGGCAGAGGGGCAAAAATTCACGACAGCGGAAGGCAGCAAAAGCAACAAAAGCAAAAAGGGGGAAAGAGGAGCAAGCCTCTTTTCCTCCCATTGTAAGTGGGCTACCTGTCCTGGGGTGGGTTGTGGCACTCATGCCCTGTCCTTGCCCTCCTCTTGCACAGGCTCAGGATGTTTACAAAGTAACAATCACGGTCTCCTGCTGAGTCACTTAGTTAAACTTTTAAACTAAAGTTGACACAATGAAGCAATCATTGCAATAACCTTGCACATATACAGCCTCCCTAGGGCTTAGCTCTACACCCTAGGATGTAGAAATGCTGAGTTACTTAGGTAAGTTTCTAAACTTCTCAAACTGACACAATAAATAAACTATAACATTAGACTATTAGAGTTTTGATAGTTTGTATGCTAAAAATGGGAGTAAGTTGAAAAGCTCAAAAATGGATATATATTTTTTTGAAGATGTAAAGGTTTTATATCATAATTTTACTGGTATTTACATGGTTGTATACACTTACTAAATTTAGATTGAATACTTACAACTGTGATTAATTGTATGTGAATTATAGCTCAACAAAGCTGGCTTACAGAGAAATATAAGTGAAAGTAATACAAAATTCCACACTTATATTTTTATTCTATTTTAACTTCTTTAAAATACTTTTATTAGTAGATATTTGCATTATATGATGAATATATTCCTCATGGGGAATTGGTACATATACATAACACATCAGAATTATTTTCTTCATCCTCTTTACTTCCTCTTTTTCCATATACAAGAAACCATTTGATATTTAAATGTGTGTCTGACTAATATCACCACATTATAGCTTCAGGGTGTATCATTTTTCTACAAATGACGTTATGCTTGTTTATGGTACAGTAGTACTCCATTGTGTACCCATATATTTTCTTTATCCATTCATCTATTGATGGATAGGCCACCTTCAAGATTTAGCTATCATGAATTGTGCTGCTATAAACATGGGTTCACATGATATCTTCTGGAAAGATACCTAGAAAGGGAATAGCAAAGTTCAATGGAACTCTTAATTTTAGATTTTTAAGGAATCTCCATACTAATTTCCATAGTAGTTGCACTAGTTTATATTTCCCCACCATCAGTGCAGATGGGTTATTATTTCCCCACAGCCTTGCCAGTATTTGTTATTTAATTTCTTGATGATAGACATTCTTTCTGGAGTAAAATGGAATCCCAGTGTGTTTTAATTTGCATTTCTCTAATGGCAGAATGTTGAACATTTTTAAATGTATTTATTGCCAGTTTGTACTTTTTGTTCTGAGAACTGTTGTATTCATTTCAGTTGCTCATTTTTTGATTGCATCTTTCATTTGGAGATGGGTCTAATTTTTAAAATTTTTTTATATATTCTAGTAGTCCTCTGTCTGAGAAACAGAGGGCAAAATTGTTCCCCATTCTATAGATTTTTCTTCACTCTGTTGTTTCTTTTGCTGTACAGATAAGTTTTAATTTGTTATGATCCCATTTGTTGATTTTTGTTACTTCTGATGCAATTGGGATTCTGTTTAGATACATTTTTGTCTATGCCTATGCCTTCAAAAATTTTATCTGTTTTATCATTCAGAAAATTATTTCTATCTTAACATTTTGGTCTTTGATCTATTTTGATTTTATTTTAGTGCATGGGGAGAGATATGTGCCTAGAGTCAATGTTCTGCATGTGAGTAGCCAGGTTTCTTAACAGTGCTTTTAAAAAAGAATACGTTTCTGGCCCCTTTGTCAAAGATAAGATCACTGAATGTACCTGCAGTTTCTTCTGTATCCTGTATTCTGTTCTGTTGATCCATCTGTCTGTTTGGGGGCCAGTACCATGATTTTGTCACTATAGTTTTATAATATAACTTCAAATCCAGAATTATGATGTCTCCTACTTTGCTCTTATTATCCAGGACTGCTTTTGCTTTTCTATTTTAGGAAGGCCAATACATATTGAGCAAAGGTATAATTCAACAAGAAGAAGTAACAATTATAAATATATATGCACCAAACAATAGTGTTCCAACTTCATAAAAAAGCACTACTGGACATAAAAGATCAGATAAATATCAGCACAGTTATAGTGGAGGACTTCACTATCACAAATAGATCAACTATACAAAAAAATCAAAGAAATATCAGAGTTAAATCTTTCAATGAATGGATTTAACAGATATCTGCAGAGTATCCCACCCAACAACAGTATACACATTCTTCTAAGTGGCACATGGCACTTTCTGTGGATCTCTACTGGTTCTATATGAATTTTAGAATAGTTTCACCCAGTTTTATGAGGAATAGTGTCTTTTTTTGAAAATCTGGATTGCATTAAATCTATTTGTCAGTTTTGGAAGTATGGCCATTTTTGCAATATTGTTTTGGTCTATCCAGGACCAGAGAATAATTTGCCATTTTCTGGTGTGCTTTTCAGTCTTTATCAGAATGCTATGATTTTCATTTTCTTGTTTAGGTTAATTACTCATAACTTGATTTTTCTTGCTATTAATGTGAATTATATAGTACTGTTTTTCTAATTTCTTTTTGGTAACTTCATTATTGGTATACAGAATGCTATTGATTTTTGTGTGTTAATTTTGTATCTTGCTACACTAGTGAAGTTACTCCTACAAGAAATATTATTTTCCATCTTTTAAACTGAATTTCTTTTTGGGTTAAATGTATTTCATGTATGAAGTATAATGTCAGATCTTGTTTCTTAATCCATTCTGTCAACCTATGTCTTTTGATGGAGAATTGAGACCAGTCACATTAAGAGTTATTATTACTGAAAGGTATTGACTTATTCCAGTCAATGCATTATTTTCCTGTTACTGACTCCCTTTCTTTCCCATCTACTTAACTGTTCACCCTACTGGTATATTCATTCCATTGGGCCTTTTGACATTCTAGCAGCTTTTTCTCTTTCTAGGATATGCTTGAGAATTTTTTTGGAGTGATAAGTTTGATAGTTTCTTTATCATGGAAATGTCTCATTTCTTTATCAACTTCCAAATATAATTTTGCAGGATGCATCAGTCTGGGTTGAAAGTTGTTTTATTTTAGGGCTTTAAACACTTCACTCAAAGCTCTTCTGCCCTTTAGAGTTTGTATTGAGAAGTCTTCTATAATTCTAGTGGGTTTTATAAAGGATTCATTGCTTTTCTTTAATGCTTTTACGATTCTGTTCTTGGGCTGGGGATTTAGCTTAGTGGCATAAATGCCTTCCTGGCAAGCACAAGGTTCTGAGTTTGATCCTCACTCCCTTCCCAAAAAAGATTCTGTTCTTATTTTGGACTTCTGGGTATCATAAAAATGTTCTCCTCTTATCATGGCTTAGTTCTATATGCATCACTTATCTGCAGGTCAAACTTCTTCCCTATATTTTGAAAGTTTTCTGCTATTATTTTAGTAAACAGGTTTTTGTATGTCCTTTGAGGTGTTTTCTTATTTTTCATTAATTTTAATTAATCTTAAATTAGTCTACTTTGGGCTATCTCAGTATTTGGATCCAATTTTCATGCTCTCTTGTTGTGAAGGTGTATCTGCATACATGGTCACTTTCTACAGTTCTTTATTGTAGTTCTGATACATTCTTCTTCACATTGGTTGCTTTTGCTGCCCCTGATTTCAGTAGAATTTTTAATCTCTTGAATTTCTGTTTGTTATCTGTTTTTGGACTCTAATTCTTTTCTGTATTGAAGATTCATTTTTTGTGTAGTTTGTCTAGCTCTGCTGGCATTTCATTAGTGTCATCTGTTAACTCTGATCTTTCTTTAAACATTAAGTGCATTATCTGTTTAGATATATCTTCTTTAAACCTACTAAGCACCTTCGTGATATTTTTTAAAATCTCTGTTACCTTTTGAAAAATTTGGCTATATAGCTTTTAATTTCCTCCTCTTTGATGCCCCATGGATCTACTTTGGTGGAGTTGTAGTTTTTAGAGGCATTTTCTTATCTTGTCTTCTCAAGTACCTAGTTATTTGGTTGGCTGGTTTTTTTGTACTGAGGTTTACAAATTCATGATAGTGAATGACTTTGTTGCTAGTATATGAGAATTTTTTTAGTTACTGTATACTTTTCAATCAGTGGTGCACTCTGGTTATGGTTAACTATAGGCTTTTGCTTCTATCCCTTAATCCCACCACCTCTGTTTATATGGGAGCAGAAGGTGCAGTGTTATTGGCTCAGTACCCACTTCTCTGGGAATGGATCACAGTATTGTTAATGACACTAAGATAACCCAGACATTGGCATATGGAGAAAATCAAGTGATGACAACTATATTACCTGAGCTATAGTAATAAAATCAGCAACAACAATGTCAAAGACAAAGTATATACTGACATGCTCTAAAAGCCAATAATGTACCATCCTTAACCACAGCAAAGAATTCTATAATTATAATACAAGTGCTAAAACAAACAAAATATTGATCTGCAGTAAATATCTACTAAATGGAAAAATTTTATTTCTACTAGCATTAGATCAATATTCAACAGTTACAGCACACAGTTAACTGTCTAAAACTTAATAAAATTTAATGGTTGTACTAGTAAAGATAGTGATAGTGGATATCCAGAGAATATTGAAAATAAAATTTGAAATATTAATCAATTGCAGCTGAAAGTGAAAATGACATGTAAAACTTTATTGAAGAATAAAAGAATTAGTAGTATTAGATAACAGTAATAGAAAAGAATGATCCTGAAAAAAACAAAGCAAAAGAAAAGAAAAAGGAAAAAATTAAATAGAAAATAGAAAAAAGAAAAAAATCAAGCCCCAAGAAACTAATGAAAAAATTCAATCAATCAGGAATATTAAAATATTCCTTTGGTTTTCAAACAAGTTGTTTCTTTTTAGAAATTTCTGTCTTTTGAATCCAGAAAGTCATGATTTTCTCCGCCTAGATTTATGGCCTATGGATTTGCAAAGTGCCCTCCATGCTCCAGGGCCCTTCTGTCGATATACTCCAGACTGTAGCAATCATTTGAGCTGAGGCATGTCCTTGTTCACATTGGTAGGTGGAGAATGCAATTAACCCTCTTGTATCTGCTTGGCCATGGGTTAGGATTTTCAATAGACTGTTGTACTTAAAGCCAACACTTTCAGATCCAGCCTCATCTGAAAGCATATACTCTACTGATTGGGGGATCAGTCTCGTAATGTTACTCTTACTTTAGTTGTAAACTGTAAGTTCAGAGCACCATCCATACTTTGGCCAACCAGCAACCTGGTTCCCACATATCCCTTAGGTTCACAGACCCAGGCAATTCAGGAAAGCATTATACTTAAAATTAATGTATTATTATAAAGGTTAGGAATAAATAGCTAGAAGAGAAAAAATAGAGTAGTAAGGTGTATAGGTAGATGGGGACAGAGCTTCTATGATGTCTTGAAGGGTACCAATCTACTAACTCATTAATGTGTTTACAAACCTAAAAGTTCACCAAACCTCACTGTTTCAATTGTTTATATGGGGTTTCATTTTGTAGGGATGACTGATTAAATCACAGGTCATGTGATTGGACTCAGTCTTTGGGCCTTCCTTACTCTCTAGAAGTCTAGGTAGCTAGTCACATGGTTAATTCTTCCAATAACCAGCCTCTCTCCATACAGAGTAATGAGATAGAAAAGGTATCTATAAATTAAAAGGGATCCAAGAGGTACAACAATATTTACAATGCTCCAAATGGACTTTATAAGGATCAGTATTTGAATAAATTATATAAAATTGAGAAAATTTAGAAAATATTAACATAAATGAGAGTATTTGATAATATGAGGATTAATTGTTTAACAACATATCATGGTAATGGTTTAGTTTTTAAAATTTTTATTTAAAGAGAAAAAAATTAAAACAGAAAAAAGGTAGTAATAATACCGAATTTAAAAAAAATAAACAGTAAGAAATCACTAGTTGATAAATTATATACTGTCATCTTAGAAATAGTTGTTCAAGTTACAAAATTAAAGCTTACAAAGTAAACATTAAAACAATAAGACTGCAAACAGTTCTGCTCAATGATCCAACAAAAAGTTGGTAATATGGTCATCTATCTTAACCATTTAAACATACATGCAGTTATATCTAAAGATCACTTTCTTTTCCTCTCTTTTTTACAATAGCAATTGCAGTTGCACATTTTGGTTTTTATTACTCCTACAGTTCTTATTACTTTTTACCCTAGAGATACAATGTGATATTTATAAATATGATTCTTATTTCACTGATAGGATAGTCTCATATTGCCTTATTTAGTATAATGTTGACTACTGGTTTGTCATAGATGGCCTTTTTGAGATTGAGTTAGACACCATGTATTCTGAGTTTCTGAAGGGTTTTTATCATCTAATATGTATTGGACTTTATCAAAATCTTTTTCTGCACCTATTGAGATAATTATGTGATTTTTGTTTTGGGCTCTGTTGATGTGGTGTATTACATTTATTGATTTGTGTATGTTAAAACATCCCCGTATTCCTGGAATAAATCCCACTTGGTCATGATACATATCTTTGTGATGATTCGCTACATTCTATTTGCCAGTATTTTATTGAGAATCTTTGTATCAATGTTCATTAGTGAGATTGGCCTTTAGGTCTTCTGTTTGATTGGATGTTTCTTTGGTTTTGGTATCAGAGTAATACTTGCCTCCAGGAATGATTTAGGGAGAATTGCTTCCTTTTCAATTTCATTGAAGAGTTTAAGGAGTATTGGTATTAAATCTTATCTAAATTTCTTATAGAATTCAGTGATGAATCCAATCAGGACCAGAGCTTTTCTTTGTTGGTAAGTTTTAATTACATTTTCAACTTCAGTAGCTGATACTGGCTTATTCAAAATTGTTATATCTTCTGGGTTGAGCTTTGGTAGCCCATGTATTTCTAGAAATCTGTCCATTTCCTCTGTTTTCCACTCTATGTGAGCAGAGATTTTCAAAGTAGGTATTCATGATCTTTTGAATTTCCATGAGATCTGTAGTAATTTCCCACTTTTCAGTCCTTATTGCGTGAATTTGGGTTTTTTCTTTCTAAGGTTAGCTAGAGGTTTGTCAATTTTGTTTATTCTCTCAAAAAAAAAAAACCCAGCTTTTTGATTCCTTAATTCCATGTATTTTTTTGTTGTTGTTGTTTCAATTGCATTGATTTCTGCTCTAATCTTTACAATTTCCTCTGTTCCGTGAGCTTTGGGTTTACCTTGCCTTTCTTTTCTAGAAGCTTGAGATGAAGCATTAGTTTATTTGTACTTGTTCTGTTTTCTTGATATGACAAAATTTATTGCTATATATTTCCCTCTTAAGACCTCTTTCATTGCATCCCACAGCTTGCGGTATGTTGTTTCTGCATTTTCATTAAATTGTAGGTGTTGCTTTATTTCTTCTTTAATTTCATCTGTAGCCCACTGGTTGTTCAAAGGCTGGTTATTTAATTTCCATGTATTTATGTGGGTTTTGCCATAATTTCCAGTTTCAGTGCACTATGGTCAGATATTACACATGGGATAATTTTGATACCTTTGCATTTACTTAAGAATGCTTCCTAGGACAATATATGATCTGTTTCAGAGAAAGTCCCATGTGCAGCTGAGAAGAATGTGTATTCTGATGTGGTTGGGTGGAATACTCTGTAAACATCTACTAAGTCCAGTTGCTTACAGGTATGATTCAGTTCTATTATTTCTTTGCTGACTTTTTGTCTAGTTGATATATCTCTTTGTTTTAATGGGATATTAAGGTGCCCTGTTATAATTGTGTCCTCATGTATTTGGTTTTTCAAGTCCATAAACATTTGTCTTATATAGTTGTGTGCTCCTGTTTTTGATGCATATATATTTATAATTGTTAGTGCTTTCTCTTGAATTTTTCTGCTAACGAGTATATAGTGACCTTCTTTATCTCTTTTAATCATTTTAGGTTTGAAGTTCACATTGTCTGCAAATAGAATGGTTACCCCTGCTCTTTTCCAGGTTCCTGTTGCATGGAATTCTGTTTTCTACCCTTTGCCTTTTAATCTGTAAGTTTCCTTTTGGGTCAGATGTGTTTCTTGTATACAGCATATTGTGGGATCATGTTTCTTGATCCATTCTGTCAACCTATTTCTTTTGATAGGTGAATTGAGGCCGTTTACATTTATGGTTATAACTGATATGCACTGGCTCTACTTTGCCATGTTATGTTCCAGTTGTTTGCTTTCTTATTTTCCCTTTTGTTTAATTGCTTGTCCTACCTGGTGGTTTCTTTCTGTTGTTGTTCTGGGTATTGTGGTCATTTTTATCTCTATCTAGTATGTCTTTCACTATTCTTTCTAGGGTTGATTTGGTGGACATGAATTTCTTCAGTTGTTCTTTGTCATGAAGTATTTTGTTTCTCCACTAAATTTGAAAGAGTTTTTCTGGGTACATAGTCTGGGTTGAAAGTTGTTTTGTTCTAGGGCTTGAAGTATCTCACTCCAATGTTGTCTTGACTTGAGGATTTGTGCTGAAAAGTCTGCTGTTATTCTGATGGGCTTTTCCTTGATAGGTGAGTTGTGTCTTTTCTCTAACAGCTTTTAGTATTCTTTTTTATCCTGCATACCTGGGATCTTAATTGTTATATGTCTGGATGTAGATTTATGTTGGTTAGTTGTTTGATGTTCTAGATGCCTCACTTACCTGCATATCTGATTTTTTCCCCATGTTTGGGAAATTTTCTGCTATAACTTCTGTGAATATTTTAGTATTCCATTTGCATCGACTCCTGCATTCACTGATGCCTATTAGTCTTATATTGTTTCTCTTGGCATCATCTTGAAACTGCTGGATTGTCATTTCATGCTGCTCTGGCTGGAGTTCCCAAGTCCTGCCAGATTATCTGTGGAGAGGGCTGGAGTTGCAGGTGGGGCCCGAGTCTACCTCAGCCCCATGGGCACTGTTGGTAGTTTTGTTTTGTGTGTATGTGTGTGTGTGTGTGTGTGTGTGTGTGTGGTTTTTTTTTTAATTGAACCAGGGATTGAACTCATGACCTTGCACCTCCAGGCAGGTGCTTGTGCCACTCAACTAAATCCCTGACCCTGGTAATGGGTTAGTAATAATATTTTAAAGGCATTCTTATATATTTGTGATAAATTTTGAAATATTTATAGATTATGTGATGTGTTTTAAATTTCCTTCTGAATAATCAGGGTAGAGTAGCAGGAGCAGGTGGGAATATAGAAATATTAGGATGGACTCATATGAATTGCTAGTTATTATATTGTTTTTTTAAGTGAAAAAGGAAAGGGGATTTAAAAAAAAAAAAAACCAAGATCTCTTATGTACATATTACAACTCCCCACAGCAAATTCAACCATTATGTAATGCAAACATATACTAATAAAAAATAAAAACTGAGGGGGCTGGGGATTTAGCGCCTGTCTTGCAAGCAGGCAGTCGTGAGTTCGATCCCTGGTACCGATGAAAAACGAAAAAAAAACCCGTGAAAGAATAGAATAAAATTTGTTATTTCTGAGGAAAATGAAAGAAAATTGTGCTATAATTCTTCCTTTCATTTCATTTGGGAAAGCCATTATGGAAAATTTTAAAATACATTTTAGATTTCTAAATGTCTTTATAACATCTTGAAATCTTTCAATGTTTAATTATACATTTCCTGTTATTAGATTGGATGAAAAAATCACAGGAAGCTAATAGGTATAACAGATGTGCTTAAAAGGGCAGGAAACTATTACTTTTGCTTTGATTCTTATGCTATATCCTTAATCACCTGATTTTAAGTCAGGCTACCATATATTAATTGCTTTTACAAGTTTTTCAGTTTATATCTGATAGCTAGAATATTAGAAAAAAGTTCCAACTTTATAAATAAGGGTAAGACAAACAACCTCTGGGTCTATGCAGCAAAAATGTGAAGTAGAGAACTCAGAATTTTATCAGCAATGGAGACTACAGAAAGTATCTAGAAAAGATAATGTGGACAACAGACACAAATCTTATTTTCAGTGGTATAATTAATTTTAAGTCTAGGAAACACAGTATTGAATCAAACAATGTTCTTGCTTTCATGAAACTCACTTTCCTTAGTAGGTTCTGATAAAGATATTAATTAAAAATGAGATAATTTTAGAAAGCTATAAATGCTGTTAAAGAAAATGAAAGTCATATGACCAAGAGTGGAAAAATGGCAGAGTTACTTTAGATATGATAGTTCAGGAATGCCTGATAGAGGACAGTGATGTCTGTTCTGAGGTTCAGATTCAGTTTCCTTTTAGAATTTTTGTCTCGTAGGCCTTTCTTCAACATAATTAATGAAATAAATTTTATATTTAACTGATGTTTACACTTGATGTCACTTGGATAAATTTTGAATCATAATACTACTGTTTTGTATTGTGGAGCCAGAAAATCTTTTTAATAGTTCATTTCTTTTCTAAGAGGGCAAAATTGATGTTGGTAACCTTAATGCCATTCTGGATTAAATGAGAATGAATTTCTCTGACAAGGAATTTGAAGGACTGTCATATCACCAGCCAGGTAATTGTGATGATTATAGCACTACTCCCTTTCTTCCTCAGGGGTACTTGGAATAGTAGGTTTATGATTTCATGTTCCTAACACTTTAATTTTTGGTCTCTCAAAGACAGCTGATACATATCGTAGGAGAACCTAGTCCAAAAGTAATCAGTTTTAGAACTGAGCATCAATTTACTGAGTAATCAATTTTGAACTGAGCATCACTTAATAGTTCATGTTTCTTCAATTAAGTTCAAAGAAACAAATCCTGTGCAAAACTCTGGAGAAGAGAGTCACAAAATGTGTAAAACATGATGTTTGTTCTGAAAGATGCATTAGATTAAACTGCAAATATAAGTAATCTAGGCAAAATTATGAGTGACAATAATGGACGCTTAGGTACATCAGGTTAGTGAACATGCTCACTGAGGACCAAGTGTGGTCATGGTCAGTTTTTAAAACACAGGTGCAAGTGATTGTGCTGCCTTTAGACCCAGTGTCAGCAGCGTGATTGATTTAATGAAATAGGAAGTCCTGCATTAAGAATCTGACAGGTGTTTTTTCCAATAACATGCTAACCTTGTGATTTCAGGCAAGGTTTTAATTTCTTTATGTGTTAAAAAGTTGTGATAGCATCTCAGAAGTTTGAGAAATGATATATGAAACCAGACATCTAATATATTGCTTGGTAGACATCAAATATAATTTTCTTCCTTGAAGAAGAGAGAGCAGATTAGAGTGGTTAGGAAATCAAATGTTTAAGAATACTTTTTTTTCTCTCTAATAGTATAGAGTTTAACACAATATTTTAGTGAAAAGAGTGTTTTCACACTTTCAGTTTTTAGAAAGCTTATTTTTGAGGTTGTGTGAGGAGTAATTCTAGAAATATTATTATAGTGAAAATCATGGAAAATTATTAATTTCTTGTGCTCTGCTTCACAATGTAATTTCATATTTGTGAATATCATTGAGGTCACTGATATTTTTTTACAGATGATAAAGTTCAATTTAGTAAAAAATTAACACATAAAAATTGATTTGCTCAAATGGATTTTAGGTGGAGACTTTGGAATTTTCTATATATCTCAGGTTGTGTGCAGTGATAATTTGATAGAATTTTCTATATATCTCAGGTTGTGTGCAGTGATAATTTGATTTCCTCCTTTCCAATTTGGATATCCTTTATTCCCTATCCCTGCCCAATTGCTCTGGCTAAGAGTTTATGTTGAATAAAACGGGTGAAAAGTAGATATCCTTGTGTTCCAGATTTTGGAAAGTGTTCACCTTTCCCTCATTTAGCACAATATTAGTTGTGGGGTAGTTATTTACAGCCTCTATTATGTAGAGGTACGTTGCTTCTGTACCTAACTTGTTCAGTGGTTTTACCATGAAAGAATTTTAAATTATATCAAATGCTTATTCTTTATCTATTAAGATGATCATATGAGTTTTGTCTTTCATTTTGTTGTCATGGTTTTTTATATTTATTAATGTTCATATATTGGAACATCCTTGAATCCTTGAGATAAATCTCATTTGATCGTGGTGAACATAATCTTTTAAATGTGCAGTGAGATTTAGTTAGTGTTTTGTTGAGGATTTTTGCATCTATTCTCATCATTCTATTAGCTGGTGTCTTTCTTGTTTTCTTGTATACTTGTCAGGTTTTGGTATTAGAATAAATCTGGCTTTGTAAAATAAATCTGGAAGAATTCCCTGCTCTTCAATATTTGTTGAATAATTTAGGAAGAATTAGATTTAATTATTCTTTAAATGTTTGGTAACTTCTTTGGGGGGAGACTTTTGTTACTATTCAATTTTATTACTCCTTACATAAAATGTATGTAACAACAAAAAGGGAGATAGATCTTTTACAAATGGAAAGAGAATGAAGAGATGGAGAGAGCAAGGATGAAGGGAAGCCGTGATACAAAAAGAATTAAGGTGTGTTGTATACAAATACTAAGTCTCCACAATGAATACAATCATTAGGTACTGCAAATGTGTATTGACAAAAATAAAAATGTTTAAAAATGAAATGCTTGCTTTTTTGACTTATCTTTTAGTCTTGGGAAGGTACATGTGAAGAGTTAATCTGTTTTTCTCAATTATCAAATTTGTTGACATATAGTCATTCATAATAGTCAAATATATACACTTTTTGGTATCAGTTATAATGTCTCCCTTTTAATCTCTGAGTCTATTTATTAGAACCACCTATCTTCTTTGTTAGTCTAGCTAAAGTTTTGTTTCATTTTTTGAAACTCTATCAATTCATTTTATTGATTTTTTTGGTCTGTTTTATTTATTTATGTCCTGATTTTTATTATTTCTTCTACTAATTTAGGGTATGACTTGTGCTTGTTTTCCTTATTTCTTGAAGGGCAACAATAGGTTATTTAAGATCTTTCTGCCTTTTAAAAAATTTTTATTTGAGAAAAAGAAAAAAAAACAGAAAAAGGGTACAACTTATGCAGAATTTCAAAAAAATAAACAGTAGGAAATCACTAGTTAATAGATTACATATTGTCATCTTAGAAATAGTTGTTCAAGTTACAAAATTAAAGCATATAAAGTAGACATTCAAACAGACTGCAAACAGTTCTGTTCAATGATCCAACAAAAACTCAGTAATATGGTCATCTATCTTATACGCTTAAATATACATGCAATTATATCCATTAGAGCACTTCCTTTTCCTCTATTTTTTACAATGACAATTACACATTTTGGGTTTTATTACTCCCATGGTTCTTATTACTTTTTTTTTTTGAAGAGAATAAAACTAAATGTGACATAACAAAACAGTCAGTCAAATCAAAAGGATGGATATAGTACATAATGTAAAAACAGAATGCACGGTAATCAACAATGGTTACCATAATGCCTCTTACTATCTTAAAAAGAATTGCCTAAAACATCAGTTATAATAAAATTGAATAAAATAGAAAAGAACAAAATAGAAAAGAACAAAACCAATAAAACCAAAACATTGGAGACATTACAGGACTTCAAAAGAAGATAATAGTCAAATCAAAATGGGTATCATAGTGAATCACAGTCGTTGCCTATACTCTCATATTTGGTATTATCAAGCAAAACAGAATTGAGTAAAATTCAGTCAAAACAAGATGGTGAGAGCTATATAGGTTTTCAAATCAAGTTAATAGGAAATCATAGTGGGTTACTATAATATATCCTGCTATTTTTTCCCTTAATTAAAAAGATTAAAAAAAATAATAAAAAAGGAGTTTGAGATAAAAGAGGACATAACAACAAAACAGCACAGGTCAGAACATAACCAGTTAAGCAAAATAGTGTTTCACAAGATATCCCAACATAAAAGTGGTTACCATAGTGTCTCTTTCCCTGAAATCTTTGAGTATAACTTCATATACTGTAGCATCAAACATATCAAGACAATGTCGAACCATTCAAGAGAATGACAGTATTACAGAGTATTTAGAACCAACTAACAAAATGAACAATGGTTTCTGTATTATCTCCTTGTCTATAAAAGTTTTTGTTTATATTATCACATATAATAAAATCCAATAAGATACAACCTGTTAAGACTGATGGAGACAGAAGAACAAAAGCTTGATGGGATTTCAAAACAAGATGGTATTAAACAGCACTAGCTATTATGATGTCTTGTTTTCTCCAAAATAGCTGTTTCTACCATCCAACCTTCTCTGCCTCATTTCTATTTAGCTCTTTTTCTGTCATTAGTTGTCAGTTTGTCTTCTTCACTTCGATTTCTGCTCCATTCATTGTGGCCTCTCTGCCACTATTTCTGAAATCTTAGTATTTTTCTTTTTTACAATGTCCTGCAGTATTCTCTGTAGAGTTGAATTGGTGGTTGCGAATTCCCCTAGTTCCTCTTTATCCTGGAAGCACCTTGTTTCTCCATTAATTTCTAGGTACAGTTGTGCAGATCTTGGCTGGAAGTTATTGTCTTTCAAAGCTTGAATTACTTCCCCCCACGCTCTTTGTGATTTGATGGTTTGTGGTGAGAAGTCTGCTGTAGTTCTGATGGGTGTTCCCTTGTAAGTGATGTTTCTTGTCTCTGAGGGCTTTTAATATTCTGTTCTTATATTGGATTTCTGGAATTTTGATTATTATATGCCTGGGTGTAGCTCTGTTTGGGTTGTAGGTGGCTGGGGTCCTGTATGCTTCATACATCTGAGTATCTTTACCTTTTGCTAAATTAGGGAAATTCTCCTGGATTATTTCTGTGAATAGCCTTTGTAGTTCATTTGTTTTTGTCCCTACTTCTTTTACGTTCTTAATTCTTAAGTTATAGATCCTCTTATCATCTTCTAGCCTTTGTATTATTGCTGTTTGTTTCGTTATTTTTAAGAAGTTTTTCATTTCATGCTCCCACATTACAAATCTGTCCTCCAGTTCAGATAAGCCATCCTTAGTTTCTTTTAAGCTGTTATGCCAGCTTTCAATAGAGTTTTTAGTTTCCTGGTAATCTCTTTGAACCTGCTTCACGCATTCTATGTTTTCTCTTATTTTCTCCATCAAACAATTCTCCCCTTTTTTCTGTTCTTCCATTCCACCATCTGTTTTTTCTTAGGTGGTGCTTACCATTTCTCCAACTATTCTACTTATATCTTGCTTTGCTTGCTTAAATACTTCACTTTTGAACTTGTCTATGAGGTTCCAGAGATATCGCTTTATGTCTATTGGTGCTATGCCTGATATTGCATGTTTTCTGTCCTCATTCTCCTTTGCATTTACCTTTCCTGGATCAGTGTTCTCAGGATTGGGGACTGAGGACCCTTTCTTGTTGCTCCCTCTTCATACTTTTTGTTCCTTCCATACAAGCGTATATAGGAGGCCCAGTTTCTTTCTTTGTCAGTTACAGTTTGTTTGAATCGTGCCAGCTAGGTGTACTAGTACTGCAGTGTACTAGGGAGACATAGACCTGGGCAGCCTATGGTGGGCCCGCCCCTCCAGGACAGTCAACCTGCTGAAGGCTTCACTGCATTAGGGTGCACTTCCAGGTGCAGGGACCTGGTTTGGGCTAGCCTACCTGGTCTTAGTCCACGGCATCACCCAGGTCAAGCACTCCCCACCAATCCCACTTGAGAACGGAATATGTGACTGAAATCACTGCAGTGTCCTGTTGTGGCTCATCTGCCCAGTCCCAGAATATCCTCTGTTGGAGCCTCCTACTCTATGGAAAGGTCCTCATTCCTCTCACTCACCACAGGTCGATGCAGAGCTCCCCGCCAGCTCTGCTCTCAATTCGGTTTGCCGATTCCCTCTCTCAGAGCTTTCGAGTCTCTATCCCTGCTGTGCTGATTCAAGCGCAGCAGCAGCGACACAAAATTCAAGCCGCAGTTTCCAGAGGTGTGGGTTCCAGCTTCAGCACTGAGACTTTAGCTGTTCCAGTTGTAGCACCGGGATTACATTTCCAGTTGGTTTCTCTCAGATTAGTTCATTCTTGGGTCAGCAGGGTATATTTCCCCCTACTTAGGACTCCCCACACCTCACCATTCCTGGAATCTAAGCTGGCTATCTCAGAGAGCCTTAGAGCTGCTGTTGTCTATCCACCATGTTCTCTTGGAAGTTATCCTCCTCCCTTTTGCTTTCCTCTTTCCATGAATCTGTTTGATTGCTAAATCCTCTCAGTGTCATCTCTGGAGAGCATTTGCTCTTATCCTCCCTCTGGTCCTATTGCATTTAGTTGGCATTAACTATAGCGTAGCATTTTGCCAGTTCTTTTCAATCCTTCACACTTGGCTCCTTCTAGCTTCCCATCTCCTCCAGCATTACACTTTGCCTCGTGCTGTTAAGGGTTTTATTCAACTTTAGAGGACCTCAACGCCGACCAGGTTGCATCCTTTCATCATACGGGCAGACGTACTGTCTCTTTCTGCCTTTTTGATGTTCATCAACATTGAGTTTTATAAACTTCTTTCTTGGTTTTTCCCTGCTATATCCCATAGGTTTTTGTATGCTGTAATTTGCCATAATCATTTGTTTCAAGAAATTTGTTTCTTGATCTGTGAGTGCTGCAAATGCTAAAGAGAATGAGATCAGAGTATGATGCAACTAAGGACATTCTATTTGATATTATCAAAAGATAGCTTGCAAAGAATAACACAGCTTGTCTTTTCTACCCACTAACAAATCTGCACCTATCAAAATTATTTTATTTATTCAATCCAAAAAATATAAAGTGCTTCTTTTAGATATATCATATTTTTATTGAATGTTTTATTTCATGGAAAAAAAGAAAGTTTTCTTAATTTACTCTGTAATACCTTGTTTTTTCAAGGTTGTATTGTTTAGTTTTTATATACTTATAGTTCCAGTATTTTTTGTTGATACTGCATAATGGTCAGAAAAGACATTTAATGTGATTTCAACTTTGAAAAAACAATCAAGACTTATTTTGTTTGCCTAATGCGATGTATCCATTTTCCATGTGCTATTAAGAATGTATACCCTGCAACAGTTAATTGGAATGTTCAGTAGATGTTTGTTAGGTTTATTTAGTCTAAGGGGCAGTTTAATTCTGCTGTTTCTTTGTTGATTTTGTCACAGCCAGTGTGATTGTAGAGCAGATTTATTCATTTACTCTTTCCTCTGCACTGGACTAAGTTCTGTGTGGGCTGGGGATCTTGTACGAGGCTTCCAGCTCTGCCCCAGCATGTGTTTAGGGTTCCCTAAAAAAGGAAGGTAGAAGACCATACTAGGGATAAAAGACGATCATAGACCCAGTCTCCTGTCTTGAAGCCTGCAGTATAGCAAGAAAGAAATGTTTAGGACAGAAAACCATATAACTGAGCTTTTGTTGGATCATTGAACGGAACTGTCTCCAATTCCACTGTATGAATGTTCACTTTATATGCTTTAATTTAGTGATATGGACAACTGTTTCTGGGAAGATAATGTGTAGCCTGTTAACTGGTGATTTCGTACTGTATATATTTTTTTTCTAGAAATACTGTATTATTTGTACCCTTTTACTGCATTTTTATGTCCTTTTCTTTTCTTCTCTCTTTAAATAAAAATAAAAATAAAAACCATGCCTGAAGAAAAAAAAATGTTTTTTTTTTTATCGGTACCGGGGATCGAACTCACAACTGCCTGCTTGCAAGGCAGGTGTTTATGCCGCTGAGCTAAACCCTTAGCCCCAAGAAATGTTAATTTTTTTAAATGCCCAGGAATGAGCCAGGGATTTAGCTCAGCAGCATAAGCAGACCTACCTGATGAGTATGTGAAGTCATCAATCCCCGGTACCCAAAAAAAAAAAAAGAAAGAAAAGAAATGCCCAAGTATATACCTCTAATTCCAGTATTCAGGAGGCTGAGGCAAGAGAATTTCAAGTTTGAGGCCACCCTAGGCTAAATAGTGAGATTGTTTTCACAGAGAGAGACAACACCAGGTACAGTGTTACACAACTGTAATCCTGGCTCTCTGTGGGGGCTGAGGCCGAAGGATCACAAGTTCAACCCCAGCCTGGAAAATTTAGGGACTTAGCAAGACCCTCTCTCAAAATAAAAAGCTCAAAATCCAGTGAGCTGGGGATGTAGCTCAGTAGAGTTTTTATTAACACCTATTTGAAATTCCTGATTAGATATAGCAGTACATCAACTTGTAAATAATTGTTGTTCCTAGTTCACATTCCACAAAGTTTTATTAAAGCCTGTCGAAGGTGTCCTTGAGGACCAGGGCCATTTTTGGAAAAACCTAGCAGGTTTTTCCTGGGCTTGGCACTGTCCTTAAGTGTGGATTGAAACGCAGCACCATGTGCATGGGAGGTAGTGCTGGCTCTAAAATTATCCCCCAAGCCACTGTTGTCACTTGCAAGCATTAAGGCGTGCTTCCCCCTGGCCCCTCCCCCCCCAGGCCTCGGGGCCTTCCAGGTGTAGAGCAGAGCACAAGGCTGGGAAATCCCTTAGTGAGAGCTGGGTCTGTGAACTCCAGCTGTTTACTCGGCCTCCTTTCCTCACCTGTGAAATGGGCTCAGAAACCTAGCCTGTGGCATTGTCTGTAAGACCGAGGCCTAGCAAGTGCTCACTGAGGGGACAGCCCTTAAAATCTGTGTCACCAGGGAAGGCTTTTTGCTTGCCCAAGAGGACAGCCACTGAGGGAGGGTACTGGGTCCCCCAAGAGGGACAGTGTGACTGATGGAAGAGGTGGCATGCTCTGATTGCAGGAGAAAAACCAAGAAAAAAGTTATTCAAACAAGAAATACAGGGAATTGGAGTGAAGGAAACTAGAGCCGGGGCTGTAGGTCAGTGGGTGTGAGGCTGTGGCATCCCCAGCACTAAGAGAGCGAGACAGACAAACAGACATGTTTCAGTGGGAACAGCCTGGTCTATTCTTGTATAGTTATTCCACAAAAGCAACATGATGCCAAGGTGGAATTCCTACAGGAGGAGAGGAATGGATTTGATAAAAATCATCGTAACCATGCATGGTGGCACAGACCTGTTATCGCAGCACTCCAGGGACTGAGGCAAGAGGATAGGAAGTTAGAGGTCACACTGAATTTTGTCTTGTTATTGTTGTTGTTTTGTTTTGTTGAGGTGGACTCTCACTGTTAAGTGCAGGCCAGCCTTGAACTTATTATATACCCCCAGCTGGCTTCAAACTTACAATCCTCCCACCTCAGCCTCTCTGGTGCTGGTGCATCACCACACACAGCTTCAGCCTGAGTGATCTGACCCTATCTCAAAAAGTAAAAAGGGGGGGGGGTTTAGTGATATAGTTCAATGTGAAGGCCTTAGCTTCAGTCCCCAGCACTGCGGCCGCCACAGAGTACCAGTCTTGTGAAGCATGTGGGAGAGGCCATGATCTCCCAAGAACCACTCAAGTCACCCCAGCCTTTGTTCTGTGGCTCCCCGTCCATCTCTGGCTAGTTCACAAGTTCTTAAACTGAAACCGAGACCACCTCGATCCCGCTGTGATGGAGATGCTTGCCCAGAGCCAGCTGCAGGTGCCCTGTGGCAGCCCTCCCTCTGCCTTCTCCCTGTAGGCTCCTGCCCAAGGGGCAGCCCTGAATCCCCAGCACCCTGGGGTCTTGGCTTTCCAGGGCTGTGGGACAGGGTGGACAGGCTGGGAGAGTGGGGAGCAGTTCAGCCCCATCTTGCCGGCAGCTGGTGAGGAGCCTGTTTCAGCAAACAGCGCCCCAGAGAGACAAAGCCACACTGGCCTCCTACTTCCTGCAGTCCCTGGGGAACCTCTTAGCACAACTAGGCAGGTGAGAAGAGGGACCCCAATTGGAGGTCCCAGTGAGTTGGGGGGCTGGTCTGTGCCCAGTGAAACCCCCCCCCTTTACTCTGCAGGAGTCACATTTATTTTATCCAGTGCCTAAACCCCAACCCTGGAAAGGTGAGCGCCCCCACCCCTCGCACTGTACCCCAGATCCGCCCCTCACCCCTTAGCTGTAACCCCACAACTGCTCCTCTCATCCACTCTGTCTCTGGCCATAGATCTCAGGCCTCTTCGACGTTGAACATGTGGCAGAGCAGCTGCACCAGGCTGGCATCCTGGAGGCCATAGACATCCGCAGAGCCCACTTCCCCATGTGCGTCCCCTTCCAGGCCTTCCTGGCCAGGTCAGGCCCGGGCGTAGGGCAGCCAAGGGCCCAGTGCCTTCAGACAGGACAGATGGAGAGGGCTCCAGCGTGCCTGGCAGGCCCAGGGCTCTTTCCTGGTGGGGACAGACCCATCTCATTTCCCCCCAGTCTGCACCTGGCCTCCAAGCCTCTCCTTTCCCTCCTCTCCTTGCTCTTCCGTCCTCCTTATTTACTGTCCCTCCCACCTTCACCAGCCCCCACCCAAGACTCTGCAGGCTAAAGCCCGGTTAGAGAGGGCAGGACAGTGCCTGCCTTGGGGTGGCTGGCTCCCAGTGTAGACGGAGCTGGCTTAGTGAGATGGAGATGGCCAGCCAGGAGGGGAGACCAAGCCAGCAGTGGGGCAGTGGGGCACAATAAGGATGAGGATGGTGCTGTCTGGGGACTTTGGAAACTTCTGGAAAAGCTGGTAAATTATTGTTTGTCTATTTGGCATTGCCACTGGCCAGTGGCCTCTCAAAATGCCCTGATGGGCTGCCCCACCCCACACTCTGGTGGCTCCGTTTGTCATAATGGCCTTGGCAATGACGACAGCCTGACCAAGGAGCAGAGCTGCAGGCCTGCTCTCGAGCCTGCTCTGAAGAAGGCCAGGCCAGGAAGGCTCTGTCCCTGCCCTCTGGACACTCCACAGCTACAGCAGTTGCCACCTCCCAGGAACCCTTAGCCCTGAGGCTGGAGGAGGGGGAGCTGGGGTTCTATGGTCCCCCTAGCACTTTAATGGTCTATCAATGAGCCACCCCTGCTGCTCTGTGTCCCCTTCCCCACCTGCCTCCCTTCCACTGCCACACTGGAGACCACTGTTAGGGTGTGCGGGCAACAGGACAGACAGGAACTCAGGACCATACTGGTCTTGCCCCTGCCATCCTGAACCGGCCTCATGGTTCTCTGTGTGTATGGGCTTCTCACCTCCCATCTCTTCTACCAAGCTGAGGTCGCACTTCCCCAGTGCATGGCTGAATGTCAGTACCCAGCCAAGTCCCTGACTGTACCAGAGCTCCCAGATTGTGGGATGCCCATGAAACTGGATACCTAGGGAACACTTGCTCTTCTGACCTAGGCTCTGTGTCCTTGGGACAGATTCTGGGCTCTCGGGACAGAGGGACAAGGCAGTTCCTCTGACCGGGAGAAGTGTAGAGCCATCTTCAGCAGGGTTCTGGGAGCTGAGTCTCCACTCTGTCACCTTGGGGCTACCCAGGTGAGTTCCAGCATCTGCGTGTGTAACCTGCCAAGCATGAAGGAAAAGGTAGAGGAACCTCCAGGCACAAATAGGGACAAACACAGGGTGGGTGGTCCTGCAAGTAGTGGCCCAATGGAAGTGGGCTGGGTGGTGTGCTGTTCAGGACAATCCACCAGGATAACACACAATTTGGCTGGAAGGGAGGAGGCAGAGGCCAGAGAAGGGCAATGTGTCCTGGGCCTGTCCTATCTGCAGCTGCCCTCTGCCCACAGGTCCTCCTGCAGGAGCAGGGCCTGTGGCAGCTGGAGCAACTCTGGGCCCAGCACGGCTCCCAGGCCTTGCTCACCCTGCATCCTCGGGGCCTTCATGCCTGCATCTCCCGACAGCAGCTCCGCCTCCTGCTCCGGCTGCAGGGTCGAGTTCGTGGACTCCAGGCCAGGTCAGCAGGTGCTCAGGTCAAGGGCTGAAGCGGGTAGGAAGAGGCCTCGGGCTCCCCCAGGTGGTGGGGCAGAGTCCAGGTGACAGAGGCTTTCAAGACAAGTCTCCCTGTCCCAGGGCCGTCTCTCAACCTTAATAGCACTGTAACCCCTACCCGAGCAGCCTATGCTGGAATATTCCCAGGCATGAAAAGGTCACTGCCTTATGAGTCTGCTTGAACCTGCAGTTCTAACTCCTCCATTCTTTTTTTCAATTTCTTTACCCTGAAGCACGAATGATTTTTTTTAGCCAGGTATGGTCACACACATCTGTAATCCCAGCACTCTGGAAGCTGAGCTAGAAGGATCTCCATGAGTTTGAGGTCATCCTGGCTACACAGTGAGTTCAAGGCCAGCCTGAACCACCTACTGAGATCTCATCTCAAAAAACAGAATGAGGGCCAGGGATTTAGCTCAGCAGCGTAAGCACCTGCCTTGTTGTGAGTTCAATGTTCAGTAACAAAAAACAAAAACAAAAACAAAAACAAAAAAAGCCAGAGTGAAACACAAACTAAAAAGAATGATCATTTAAAAGAATGAATCAGGGGGCTGGGGATTTAGCTTAGTGGCATAAGTGCCTGCCTTACCAGTGTGTGATAAAAAAAGAGTAATAAAAAATAAAAATAATGAATCAGGTTGTGTAGGTCCTGCCTATCTCTCCAGCCTGGATTTAGGCTGGGCTTTTATACTCTAGCCACTTGGACCTCTTAGTCTTTTTTTTTTTTTTTTTTTTATCACTACTGGGGATCGAACTCATGACCACACACTTGCAAGGCAGGCGCTTATGCTGCTGAGCTAAATCCCCAGCCCCTGGACCTCTGAAGTCTTATAGTATGACACTTCCTGATTAACTCCTGTGCCCTGCGCTGAAGCCCGCTGACCCTGCCAGCCTGTCTTCGCTTGTTCACACAGCTGCCGCGCCACCCTGTCAGATGCTGGTGATGCAGGAAGGCAGACAGGAGGGATGGTACATCTGAGCTAGTAGGGGTCAGATTCAGACAGCCAGTCAGCCACCGACCACCCCAAGGGTGAGAGTCAAGTGTGCAGTCTGGGACCTTGGGGGAGGGGGCAAACATCACCACTATCTGGGTCCAGAACTTTCTGCCACATAAACAGCAACTCTGTAGCACTCAGTAACTCCCTATCCTGGCAACTTTCCTTCTGCTTTCTGTACCCATGAATTTGGCTTTTCTAGCTACCTCCTGGGAGCTGACTTACAGAATATTTCCTTTTCTGTCTGGCTTACTATACTTATTGTAACAGTTTTGTTCTTGTGGTACTGGATGTTAAACCTAGGGTCTTTATACCAAGCTACACCCCACCTCTTTTTTATTTTGGCACAGGATCTTGTTAAATTGCTAAGCTACCCACGCTAGGTTCAAACTTGTGATCCTCCTGCCTGTCTCCTAGAGTGCTGAGATCACAAGTGTGTGCTACCACACACAACTTAGCATAATATTTTCAAATTTCATGTGTGCTAGAGCATACACCAGAACCTCATTTCTTTTTGTTTGTTTGTTTTGTTTGGGGAGGTTGGTTGATTGGTTTTGGTTTTTTGAGACAGAATCTCACTATGTAGTTTAAGCCAACCTTGAATTCACTATGTAGCTGAGACTGGCCTCAATCCCATAGCAATTTTCCTGCCTCAGCCTCCTGTGTTACAGGCATGTGCCTCCATACCTGGTTAGGACTTTATTTCTTTTTCTGGCTGAGTAATATTTCCTTCAAGGACTGACTACACATTATTTATATCTGTTTATCTACTGATGGATATTTGAGTTGTTTCCATTATTTATGAATAATGCTACTATGACTATGGGTATTCAAATATAGTATCTGCTCTAGTCTGTGCTTTCAAGTTTCTGTAGTCATTTGTTCTATGTTGAACTTTTTGAGAAGCTGCCCAACAGTATCCCTCATCATTTTATATTCCTACTGGCAATTTAGCAGGGTCCCAGCTTCTTTGAGTCCTGTTATCTTTTATCTTTTTAGTTATCATCATCCTCAGGAGTATGAAGGAATAGCTCATGGTTCTGCTTTGTATTTCTTAGTATGCAGAAATATTGAGTATATTTTCATGTCCTTCTTAACCATGAGCGTACTTTCTACAAGAAAATGTCTGTTCCAGTCCTCTCCCTGGTTTTTTAATTAGATTATCTCTTTTTGGTTGAGCTGAAGAAAGCTCTTAACATTTTCTGGATATTAAGCTACTATCAAATATATGCTTTGCAAATATTTCCCATTCTATGGATTGTATTGCATGTGTGAGTGTGTGTGTGTGCATGCAAGTGTGTGTGAGTGGCTCTGGGGACAAAACCCAGGGCCATAAAGGCAAGTCATGTTGCATGGGGCCACACCCAGCCCTGTTTTGTTTTGTTTTGTTTTTGCGTTTTTACCAGTACCAGGGATCGAAATCACGACCACAGGCTTGCAAGGCAGACGCTTATGCCGCTGAGCTAAATCCCCAGCCCCCCAGCCCTGTTTTTAAATGTGTGTCTTGGACAGGCCTCCTTTGATGAGTCTGGTCTTATATCTGGGAAACTTTCCAAGCTATTGTATTTACATATTCCCTCTTCCCAAATCTCTTTAGCAAAGTCTGCCTTGCCAATAGATCACAGACAGGTAAAGCCACTGATCCGAGGCCCTGGCACCTAATCAGGCGAGGGCTGATTTGAGCCTGAATGGTTCAGCTAAGCAGTCCAGTCCTAATCCCCGTATGTTAAACAGCCTCTCAAATTACCTGTTCTTCTTTTATGGTGTTCTGTTCTCTTCCTGTTGCTTCTGTTGAACCTCCAGGGCCCTAGCTAATTAGAGTTGTTTTCTACGTGAATGTCCAGGCTTAGAGGGTTCAGGTACCAGGCAGGGAGTGTCCATGTGGAGCCCTGATCTGTTCTTCATCCCCGGTGGCCTCCAGGAAGTGATACCTTGTACGGCAGGAAGGTGTGGCTCAGCTGAACACTGTAATCCTGGTGGCCTGGCCCCTGCTCCAGAGGTGGCAGAGGCTGAAGGTGACGGAGTCTGGGCAGGCAGACTGAAAAGACTCAAGGCAGAAGCCAGGCAGCCTGCTCTGGCCAGTCGCTGAGCCCCGACGCTCAGCCTAAGAGCCCAGCCTCCCAGGGACCAAGGCTGAGACCATCACTCCTTGAACTTTTCCCTTTCCTTCTGCCTGACTAGGGCAGGCAGGGGCCCTGAGAGGCCACTGTTGCTTCCCACATCCCCTTCTCCCCCTGGGGTTCCTTCCGTCCCCTCTAGTCCTTCGTGGGTCCCTACTCTTCCCCCTCTTGCCTAATGACTCCAGTTTGATGGCCATGAAGCTGCTCAAAGGTCAGCACCCACACTCTGTCCCCATCCCTGGCCTCTCCCTGGCTGGACTTGGTCCTCTGAAACCATTTCTCCCCTTCTTCCTGCCCTCTTCCCAGCACCCTGGGCGGACAGGTAGTGACGTCCACAGCACAGAGACAGTGGGAGCTCAGAAGGCTGGGAGCAGCTGGGGCGCACAGCACGGCAGGCAGCTGTCCCTCTCAGTCTGCTGTTCCTTTGCAGGGTGTCAAGGCCCCCTGGTGGGGAGCAGCTGCTGGGAGGGTCGTAGTGGGTCCTGCTGGGGCCTCAGCTCATCCTGTGTCTCCCCACAACTTGGGCATTGGTGTGGCCAGCGCAGCAGCAGGATCTCAGAGAGAGTACAGAGCATGGTAAGTGGTCTCTCGAGGGAAGAGGTTCTCCGTGGGGTATGAACCCCCACACTCAGCTCAGCTTGGGGGAAGGCAAGAGGCAGAGGTGGCACCAGGGGTCTTGTCCCTCATGTGCCCCTGAGTGAAGATGAGGTGCCTGTGGCTCTTTGATGCCTTTTCTTCCCTAGAAGGGTTCTTAGGGTGCTTCTCTTTTAAGTACCCGGGACCAGAGTCTTTGGTCTTCGGAGAGGATATTCATATCATCCTGGGGATGAGAGACACAGTGGGTCCCTCTCCCAGCTCCGGGCAACTTTTGCTGTCCCCCAGGAGCTGGACCGCTTAGAGATCCCAGCTGAGCTGGCAGCCATACTGAGGGCCGCAGAAGGTGCGTCGTACTGGTTGTGTAGTGGGGCTACCTCTCTTGTCAGCTCCCCGCCAGCTCCTTACTGATAGGGGCTGGTGACCAACGAGAACGGTAGGGTTGGTGCCATTCCTGGCATCACACCTGGTGTCTCTTAGTGCTGCCTCCCGCAGCTCCTTCCCAGGCCACCAGGACACCCTGGCTGGACTCATGACTGAGACTATTCCTCCTGAGGTGCTGGTGCGGCCGCGCCTGACCCTCCCGTCAGACATTGACCTGTTCCCCTTCTCCAGCTTCATCTCTACCAGCTTTCAGGTGAGCCCTAGGCCTGTGTGCTTCCTCCAGGCCCAGCATTCCCCACCGTTAGCACTGCCAAGCAGAAGCTTGGCCTCTCCCTTCCTCCACTTTCTGGAAACTGCTCTGAAGATACCCATTCAACTGAAGCAGTGCACCATGGAGTGTTATTTCAGTCCGGAGGCCACACCTTTGTATTCTTGTGGTACTGTCCTGCTGTTGAAGTCGTTCCATTAAAGAATGTTTGACAGCAGAAACCGCCCAGGCTGCGGTGCAACATAAAAAAAGCAGGATTCAAAACTACATGTATAGTAGAATCCCAATTCTCTTTAGACAACAGGGGCCAGGCTTGGTGCCACAGGCCTGTAATCCCCGCATGCTGGAAGGGGGAGGCAAGAAAATCTCAAGTTTGAGCCCAGCCTGGGCAATTTAATGACTTAGCAAGACTGGTTTTGTTGTTGTTGTTGTTGTTGTTGTCGTTGTTTAAAAAAAAAAATACTGGGGATGCCTTTCAGTGTGAAGGCCCTGAGTTCAATCCTTAGTACCAAAAAAACCCACACAGAAAACAAACAAACAAAAGGGTGGGGTGTGCCAGATGTCTCCATGCATAGAAGTTAAAACAAGAGTTGAACTTTGTGGCACAAGCTTTTAATCCCAGCATTCCAGAGGCTGAGGCAGGAGGATAGCCCTGAGTTTGAGACTAGCTTGGACTGCACTGTGAGTTCAAGGCCAGCCTGCACTACAAAATGGAGAAAAAAACCAGCCACCACACAAACAAACATGAAAAAAGGCTAAAATGCTAACTATGGTTTAACTTTGGCTGCAGAATGTTAATGATAGTTTTAATTTTTAGTCTTTTCTGTTTTTTGCATGTATGATATCAATCTTCTAATGAAATAACTACTAAGATACATTTCTGAGCTGGGCATGGTGGCAGATTCCTGTAATCTCAGCACTCAGGAGGAGGCTGAGGCAGAAGGATCCTCTCTGAGTTTGAGGCCAGCCTGGGTACATGCTTGAACTATATAGTGAGACCTTATACCAAAAAATCAAAGCCAAAATAAACAAACAGAAATGTACATTTTTGTCATTGTTACTATTTTGAGACAGTCTCACTATGTAGCCCAGGATGGCCTCAAACTCAGGGTGATCCTGCTGCCTCAGCTTCCTAAATGCTGGGATTATAGGCTTGCACCACCATTGCCTTGCTAGAAAGATACATTGCTAAGATGACATTACGTCCCAATGCCTCCCCTTCTTCAGGGTGCATGCTTTCATGGGGGTCCCCCTGGATACTTCCCTATCCCTTATAAGCATAGAGGACAAGCTCTGTACCACCCTCCTTCTCTGCAGGAGCCATCCCTGCCCAGCCCAGGATTGCCTCTGACCAAACCACTGACTCAGCTGGTGGGAGAGAACCCTCAGCATGCCCTGGACATCAACAAGGTGGTGAGTGACACATCAGGGAGAGGACAGAGTCCCTCACAGGGGCTGGACCAGCACATGAGAGTCCTATACTCCTGCTCTGGCCCCACTTTGTGTCATAGATGCTGTGGCTCCTGGGGGATGGATCCCTGCAGCCTTGGCAGGAGCAGACCATAGGCATTTACCTGGTATGGCAGGCACAGCACCAGCCAGGGCTGCAGGATGAGCTCTTCAGCCAGCACGTGGCCCAGCTCTGGCACAACCCAGTTGAACAGCAGAGCCAGCAAGGCTGAGCCCTCATGGCAAGCATGTTACCAGGTGGACAGCGCATACAGAACAGTATGGTGGCATTTTGGTTAATTTACAACATTGTGGTCAGTTGCTCCAGGGTGGTCAGCTGTGAGAAACAGATGCTTTAGCAAAGGGATTCACAAGGTAATTAGGGCAAATAACGAGGGCATACACAGAACAAGATGACAGCACTTTTTGGCTAGAGTATAACACAAGGGTCAAACATCTTCCAGTGCTTCAGAACACATTCCAGAAGAGTAAGGGGCTTTGGCCCTGAATTGGCCATGTCTGTAATGCCATTGCAGGGTATAAGTGTATACAATCTTTTTTTCCCAGGACCAGGAATCAAACTCAGGAGCTTTCTCTGACCTATGAATGATATTAAGCTATCTAGCTATGCAAAAAGGAAATAGAGCATCCCTTTTTATTCCTATTGATAAATGTTCTCTAGATGTCCCTTGGGTTGAAACTGCTCCAGGGGAGATGGATGTCTTCTGGAGAGCATGGAAGATAGATCTGGTCAGCCTATCCACCCTTGGCCTGGTACACAATCTTATCTTCCCAGATAGCTCATAAACTTTGTTTCCATTAGGAATGCTTAAAGAAGGAAGTATAAATGTGTACCAAACTGCTGCTTTTTGTTTATTGTAAGAAAAGTTGGGCTAAAGCATTTTTGTTCTGGGAAAGAGATTCCCCAGGAAATATAGACAACAAATAAACTTAAGGAACTTTGCCCTGGGCCCTCAGACAAATTTTCCAAGGCATTTGTGTTCTCTAACTATCTAGGTAATCTTTTCTAGTGGAGGGACATGGCTATGTTTTATTTAAATTTCTGTATCTTTGAAGCTCACAGGTTAGATTTATAAATTAGCATCTAGCAATCACATTTTTACCAGTACTTAAAGGCACAGAAGAGAAAAAGGCTATTTATTCCTAATTAACATAGGTAAGGCACAAATGTAAATCCTTTCCTGCTAGTTTCTTTTCAAATGTAAAAAGCTGTTGCAGAGTGCCTTAGTCTAGTTTTGAGAGAAGTAGTCTTAACTACCTGAAAAGTTTAGGGAACACCTTTAGTTTTAGTAACCTTTAGTTAGGGAACACCAGAAAGATTCAGGTAGATAAGGAAGCGGAGTTTTCTGTGGCTGGGGAGCCAGTGCCCACTGAGGAAACCGTGGGTGTCTTGGCCATGACCCCTCAGTTGTTCTCAGTTTGCATAGGCCCCACACAACCAGAAATCAGTCTCCAGAAAGGAATCCAGCTGCCTGTCTGGTTAGCACTCCATGGGCCACTGGCTTTAATGGGGATTCACCAGATGGAGGTTGGGGAAATCTGTCCTCCGTTTTTTAGAGTCCCATTTGTTATTCTAGACATGTATATATTTTAAGTCTGAACTAGATTTTATTTAAGAGAACCATTTTACAGAAGTTTAAAGTCTGTTAAGGAAGTCCTATTATTATCTCCACTGCTATACTCTAAATACAATCAAGCAAGGGGTACCAGTAACTTTAGCAACTAATTTAAATTCAAGCAATAAAAAAACAGAATAATAAAAATGTACCATTTAAGAAATACCATAACTACAAATTTCCCAAGTTTTAACATACATTTACCATTTTAACAAAACTATAAGAGAAAAAGCGTTATAAATAATGAAACAAAAAAGAAAATTGGAAGCATAAAAATTTGTTACTTCAATGAGTTCCAGTCCAGAGGTTATGAAACAAAAGCAACTTCTTATCTCCATCCAATGAACTTGGTGGGACCTTGAAATGACATAGGGGAATGAAGCTCTCAACCTAGTAGGTCTGGTACAAGTTTGTGTTCTCTAAAATTGAATGAATTTTAGGAACAAAGGAGGTTAAGAGCAGAATATGTGTATTGCAAGAAGGAAAGCTTCAGAGAGAGACAAAAGGGTTCCAGAGCAAGTTGTCAGGGACTCTGTCTTTTTCAGGCACTTTTATACAGTAAAATCATGGGTTCAAGGCAAAACTGGGAACTCGCAAGGCAGGTGGGCATAAGGTGGGACAGAAGTGTGGTTAGCCAATAAGAACAATAGCTCAGGTAAAATTGATTAATTAGGGATGAATGGGGAAGCCAGTCATGTAGAAAGTGGTCATTCTTAGGGAGCAGTGACCCACCCCTAGGGGATCTGAACAGTGACTCTTGACTTTCTTAGGGTAATAGGGAACTATTTAGAATGGTAGTCCTTAGGATGTGGATGTATTTGTTTAAACTTTTGGACTGAGGCCTGGCCCACAGCAAGAGGTTTCTGTCTCACCCATAGGTGCAAGATACCTGGGTTTCTGTAGTGGCTCCTTTGAGGACCCAGCCATGTCTCACTGCCTATAGTATTTCTAACTAACTCAGCTGCTTGCAACAAAAATACAAGGATAAAATGACAGTGTAGCTCTGATTCAAAACATCCAGCAGTGCTGAATATAAAGGGCTGGGGTGCGAGCCTAGTTGTGTGCACTTGCTAGCATGTAAGATACCTTGGGTTCAGTGCTCAATATAGCAAAAATAAAACACCACTGTCACAAAAAAGCCCAGAAGGATTTGGAAGACTGCACACATGTCTCAGGAAAACATGAAACTCTGAGACTGCTTCCTAGTCCAGGAAATTTCTGTCATTTTTCCTGAAGTCCCATTCTTGGCCCTGAACCCCTCATTTGAAGTTAAACAAGTAGAATTGAGGCCTCTCAGGTACTTCTTTTGTGGACCTGAAGGAGGAGCTAGCGTTCCTCTCAAGGACGGAGAAGTCAGGCTGCTTAAACACAGGTCCTTTTGGAGCTCCCCTCAGACAAGATTTCCAGGATCAATGTGCCTACAGCCCTGAAATCAATTGTGCTACAGCTTTGAACACTCTTCTGCCTTCTCAATATGGTCTGTTACCTAGGGGTCAGCATCTCCCCACAACTGAAGTAGAATATTTTACCAAAGAATCTTTCTGCGAATCCATTGTACAAAACCTTTAGGGATTGATTTTCCAAAGTAATTTCTTTCAGAAAATTATCATCATTTACTACTTTTAGGATGTTTAGAAAGGAAAGGACAAAAACTGTTTCATGCCAGTGGAACTGTAGCAGGAAAACTGAGTCTGCAGTAGCCAGGAGCTCAGGAGAAGAAAGGAAATTTTATTGAGTGCTGGCAGTCCCCAGAGGAGTAATCTCCACAATCTGAGGCACTGATTATGAAGAGTTTGTCCTTTTTATAGGGTGGCAAGCAGGAGTTACAAAAAAAGCTAGTTAAGTATAACTTTAGGCCATGGTACAATGCATATCCTGGGGTGACCATAGTTTTTATGTGACACAATTGTTTTAGCGCATTTACAGAAGTTTCAATTAGATGAGTCACAAATCATGTGACTTAGCTGAGTTCAGGGGCAAGAACAAAATGGCTGCAGTGAGATCAGGACTTCTGCTTCAGCACTTAACTTGGGGAGACTTGATTGAAAAATTGGGGAATGTTTGCTTCAAAGAGGTGGAGAATGTGGTTGCTTTCTGGAAAAGCATCTCAATTTTTCCCATACTAAAGAATGATTTCACTGTAATTTTAACAACACCAAAGATGCTTCAAACTTTAAAGAATCTAGTTTCTTGGAAATTTGAGAAGAGGAAGTCAGTAAATTTTAGAAATCAGATGATTTTTTTTTGTCTCTTTGAGCTGGTCTCCAGCTGGTCTTGAGTTCATTTTATAGCCCAGGCTGGTCTCAAACTTGCAAGGATTCTCCTGCCTTAGCCTCCCAAGTGTTGGGATTACAAGTGTGCACCAGTACATCCAGTTACAAATCAGATTTTAACACTAAATTGCCCCTACATGACATGTCTTTTGGAATCAATTCTATTTTAAAACCATTACTATGTGCTCCCACGTAAGGCAGGAGGGGTAAAAAAACAAGTAATAATTGATGAAAAAGGACTGTGAAAGAAGTCAGTTTACAGTAGTGTTCCAAGAAAACTGTTTAACTTGAGGATTTTAACATTAAAAGAGTCTTCCCATGTGTGGTGTGAAAAAGGGCACTGTCACATCTGGATGGAAGTGTTGAGGCCTGGTAGGGCAGGGAGAGTTCTCACATGCTAATGGAAAGCACTGACTCAAATCCTTCCTCTCAGATCCAACTGCTCACCTCCAAAAGCCTTCCTGCAAGCACTACACATCATCACAGAGTATATGCAGCCCCAGCCTAACAGGGAAATGAATCACCAAACATGGAACTGGATAGAGAATAGAGCAAATGACAACTCTGTGGAATAAACCACCATATTGTGTATTCTCCTGTCTGCTGCCCTAACTAGTCCTCATTCTGGAGGTCAGCTGGATTTCCTAGAACCTGCATCCCCAAAGGAGGAAGGATTTCTCCTAGATTGTGGCTTGGAGCAAGAAAAACTTAAGTTGCTGGACTGGGTTACTGCTTCTGAGTGTACAGAGGCCCAGCCCTGTGACCTCCATGGAGCTCTGTCCTGCCCCACTCAAGGGGCTGCTGAAGACAGGACTACCCAAGTCTGAGGCCCAAATCCTGCCTCGATATGGGGAGTAGCCCTGCGGGACACTGATGTCACCTGCGGGACACTGATGTCACCTCTGCTGGAGGCAGGAAGTTGGGCCTGGCCAGTGTAGCAAAAGGCTCACTGAGGCCATGGTAAGCCCATCTGGGCCAGAACCTAATTGTTTTTTTTTTGTGTGTGTGTGTCTTTTTCCTTTTTATCGGTACCGGGGATTGAACTCACGACTGCCTGCTTGCAAGGCAGGCGCTTATGCCCCTGAGCTAAATCCCCAGCCCGGAGAACCTAATTGTTTCTTAAACAATGATGTCACAAGTGGTGGGCCAGGTCACAATGTACATGGTTGCCCAGGCACTGGCAGTAAGTGGCTAGCAAAGACATTTCAGCAATAGTCTTGCTGGAAGCAACTGGCCTAGGTCTTGTTGACCAAGCCTTATCGTATGATGTTTATATTGCGCTTTGGGGCACCAGGGTTCATGTTTTGGCCACAGTTGTGGCTAGTGATGCTGGTAGCCCCACCTCAGTTCCCAGCCCAGATGGACCCTGAGCTCTTTGAGCCTAGCTCTTTGTTTTTTCCTCACAAGCCCCTTCCCTCGTCTCAACCACTCTACACCTTTACTACTCCAGCAGAGCCGGGGGAATTGGACTACCCAGGAACCTCTGCACCCAAGAAGATTTTACTTACACCTGAGGAGTCGACTGGAGAGTCACTGCCGGATCCAGATAAGTTTGCTGTTCCGCATCAGGGTCTGCATGACAAGCTGGTTGGGCCACAGAGGCTCCCAGAGGTGGATTCAATGGTAGATGGGCATGAGAATGAATACCTAGCTCTGCCGTCTCAAGTCAGAAGAAAGGAGGAGATTTCTGCTTCAGAGCAGGCTGCAGACCACCAGTCATGTGTGCTGTGTTCATCTCCAGTGAGTGACAGTACAACAACATCACAATTCGTTTCACTCCTGAAACCGAAGAATATAGCTCAGCACTGGCAACTTGCTAAGGAGGATTTTGGAACTGCTCATCAATTAGAATATCCTCAGCTTCAGAAACAAACAGTGGATCTGAGTATGCATAAAGCTGATCATGACAGCCTACACCTGGGAGATCTGCAGAAGCCAACTGAGCCTCCACAGCCCTGTGAGCACAAGGAAACATCCCACTACCAGCTGGAGACCCAGACTAAAAATCTGGAGGCTCCCCAAATCCAATCCTCTCTACCTGAGGGAGAAGGCCCTTATCAAGACTCACAGCCCGTTGAAGAGATTGTACCTTTCTTTATCCATCGGGAGGCTCTAGGCCAACGAAAGTTTTTTACCAAGGCAGGTTTAGGTAAGCTGTCAGAGAATGAAGAGGTCAGTGTTCCATCCCTAAGGAGCAGTGCAACTCATCTCCCACCTTTGCCAAATTTCATCCTGAGACCTGGGGAGATACCCAAGGAACAATCTCCAGTACTGCCGTCAGCCTCTACTAAGACACAAGGGCCAACAGTGAACGAGATGCCAGTTCTATTGCCTGGTCAATACCCAACTCAGCGTCCAACATTACCAATTGTCACCATCCCACCACTGGACATGTGGCTTAGCACAAGTGATGAACTCACTACAGAGCCTGCACATTCTGAGGCCCTGCAGGAGATTACATCTTCTTCTTTGAAACGTCCGGTGGTGGCACTTGCACTTCAAGAGGAGGTGCAGGCTCAGCAACCAAATCTGACACCTGTCATCTTTGAGGCACTGAAATTGAAGCACCACACAACTCCTCTGCATACTGCAGAGGTTCAACTCTGCCCACATTTGCAGACGTCATCTCAGCATCCACAGCCATCTACTGAGGCTAATAGTCAACATAAAACACCACATCAAATGAAAACTCCAACACCACTGGGTGAGTTTTCAACATCACCCAGTATTATGGTACAACCCATGGATATGGGCCCTCTCAAAAATGCTAAAGCCACTACAGAGGATGAACATTCTGTAGTTCTGCAGGATATTACAGCTTCTCCTGTGAAGCATTCTGATGTGACACTCACACATTCAAAGCAGGTGCAGGCTCAGCGACCAATCCTGCATCATTTCAGCATTCAACCTGTGAACCTAGTCTATCCTGAAACTTGTTTGCCTACTTTAGGGACTCCATTCAACCAAAACTGGAAGGAGAGCCCCTCTCAGCCTCCACAGCCATGTATGAAGGCTGTAGACCAACACACAGGAACACCTGAAATGACAAACCCAACATCACTGGCTCAGGATACAGCTCAGAGTCTATCATTGCCCAGTGACATGGTACCAATGATGCATATGGATGCCCTGATGAGTGCAAAAGCCACTACAAAGGCTGAAGATTCTATGGAACGGCAGGAGGTTACAGCTTTTCCTCTGAAGCATCCTGGGGTGATTCTCACACTTTCAGGGCAGGTAGGAGCTGAGCAACCAAACCTGACTCCTGTCATGATTCATGCTTTGAATGTAGAACATATCAGAACTTCTCCACCTACTTCAGAGGTTCAATTTTCCCCAACTTTGTCAGAGACCCCATCTCAGCCTCTAGAGTCATTTGTGGAGGCTTTAGGTCAAAGCAGAGTGTCATCAGATACAACAAATCCATCACCACCAGACCAGGGTGCAGCTCAGTCTCCAACATTGACCACTGTCGTGGATCAACCACTGGATATGGGTCATAGTATACATCCTGAACTTACTATAGAGGCTGAACATTCCATGGCACTGCAGGATGTTGGAGCTCCTCCTCAGAAGAACCCTAAGGTGACTCTTGCACATTCAGGCCAGTTGGAGGATCAGCATCCAAACTTGACTCCTGTGACAGTTACACTTTTGGATGGGGAACGCTTCATGACTCCACCACCTGCTACAGGAACTAAACTTCCTTCAGTGATGCAGGAGAGCCGCTCTCACCTTGCAGAACCATCTATCAAGGTTGTAGTTCAACACTTGATAAAACCTGAAATGAGAGATCGAACTCCACCAGGTCAGCACACAACTCGGAGTCCAACATCACCCAATGGTGTGGTACAAACAATGTATACGACTGCTACCATTAGTGCAAAAGCCATTACAGAAGCTGGATATTCTGCGACCCTGCAGGAAGTTATAGTTTCTCCTCTGACACATCTTAAGGGAACACATTCAGAGCAGGTGCAGTCTCAACAACCAACCCAGCTTCCTGTTATCACTCTACTTGTGAACCTGGAGCATCCCAAAACTCCTCTACCTACTGCTACCATGAGTGCAAAAGCCATTACGGAAGCTGGATATTCTGTGACCCTGCAGGAAGTTATAGTTCCTCCTCTGACACATCTTGAGGGAACACATTCGGAGCAGGTGCAGTCTCAGCAACCAACCCAGCTTCCTGTTATCACTCTACTTGTGAACCTGGAGCATCCCAAAACTCCTCTACCTACTGCTACCATGAGTGCAAAAGCCATTACGGAAGCTGGATATTCTGTGACCCTGCAGGAAGTTATAGGTCCTCCTCTGACACATCTTGAGGTGACACATTCGGAGCAGGTGCAGTCTCAGCAACCAACCCAGCTTCCTGTCATCACTCTATTTGTGAACCTGGAGCATCCCAAAACTCCTCTACCTACTGCTACCATGAGTGCAAAAGCCATTACGGAAGCTGGATATTCTGTGACCCTGCAGGAAGTTATAGTTCCTCCTCTGACACATCTTGAGGTGACACATTCGGAGCAGGTGCAGTCTCAACAACCAACCCAGCTTCTTGTCACCACTCCAGTTGTGCACCTGGACAATTCCAAAACTTCTCTACCTACTTCAGGAACTCAACTCACCCAAAATTTTCAGAAGATGCTTTCTCAATCTCCAGAGCCATGTAAAAAGGCTGTAAATAAACCCTCAAGGTATAAATCAATCACACCTAAAATGACAACGTCAACACCACCAGGTCAGGATCCAGCTCATACTCCAACATCATGTAATGGAACCAACCAACCACTGGAAGTAGCGCTCACCACAAGTGCAGCACTCACTACAAAGGCTGAACCTTCTCTGGCCCAGCATAAGGATTCTACTACTGCTCTGGCGAAGCCTGTGTTGACAGCTTCACATCCAAACTTGACCCCCGTCACAGTTCAATCACTGAATGTGGAACACAACACAAATCGTTACTCTGTACAAATAGTGCGGGACACCACCACCAATATCAACATATGTGAGCTCTGCACCTGTGAAAACCAGACCCTGTCATGTACGGGTCTCAGCTCACAGCAAAGGCTGCGCCAAGTACCTGTCCTAGAGCTCAACTCCTTCACAGTCCTGTAAGGATCAGTTTTCATTTGTTGTCTGCAATGTGCCTGAGGTGACAGCCCTTTCTTCAAGGCCTTCCTAGGCTGTCCTCACGTCCCCTGTTCAAATTGATTTTCTGCTTTTATCTTCTTAATTCCCAATTTTCCTTACTCTACTCTCTTTTGTACTACTTGTGCCCTCTTTCTCCTGTTTTTTTTCATTATATATTTTGAGACAGGATCTTCCTGAATTACCCAAGCTTGGCTAAAAATTGTAACCCTGCCTTCAAGGCTTTAAATAAGGGTAAGTAAAGTGTGAGAGTGGGGTGAACACTGGAACACTGCGTGACCAAGTGGCCAGTAAACAGCTGGGGGTAGAGTGAACAGAGAAGTGCAAACTCCAGTGAGCTCCCGTCTCCATGCTGTGTGGAGCTGAGAGTGGTGGAGGTGTCATAGGTGGCAGCCCCAAGCAGGGAGGAGAGCCAGCTTGAGGGGCACAAGTTCTGTTTGAGGTCGTGGTGAGCGCAGAGCAATGAGAATGCATCTGGTCACATGGAAATGTTCACTAGGCACATGAGCAGACTGATTGCTTTCCCGCCATCCTCAGGAAAAGTATATGCAAACTGAACAGGAAAGTTGTTGCTGACGGATAAAGAATGAGTTTCCGCAAAATTGGAACTGAACCCTGGTTCGAGGCAGGTTGGCCTCAAGCTCATTGGTATCTTCATGCCTCAGCTTCCTGAGTGCTGTGATCACAGGCATGCTCCCCTACTCCTGACCTAATAACTTCTTGTCAATGCATGATAGACCTCCTTTAAAAACGAGTCAGAGATGTGTATGGAATAGTGTGAGATCCCTACCCTTATATGCTTGACCACCTGTCTCCCTCACCCTGTCACACAGGAGATAAGCCCTGGTGCCAGTTTTGTGTGGGTTCCTCCTCCTCCTCTGCAATTTTGCCCTTAGTTCCTCTACGCTGCTCTTGCCCTTATCCTTCCACTGCCTGCAGAGCTTCCACAAAGGGTACCGAGCCAAAGCTTTGGCACCAGCTGGCAGAGGCTTGCTTTATTCTTACTCACTAATAATGATGCATTTTGGCGCATTTTTCTGTTGAATGATTTTTTATTTACTTATTGATTTGTAGGAATCATCTTGTACCCAAGTGATTTTGGGAAAAACACTTAAAGTGACTGACATCATTAATCCAGGAGACTGGACAGATAGGAAGCTGAGCTGCTGAGCAGAAGTCTCATCATTTGTGCTGGCTGCTCCATAGTCTGACTGTCTTGTGCAAACTGGGGAGCTGTTAGTTCTGGAAATGAAAAGCTGTTATTGTCTCTGTGTTTGAATATCCTGGAGACTTTCAGGATTCTTTTACTTTTTCTGCTCATTCCTTTCCCAGTTATTCAAAGAAATAAACTGTTTCTTCACAGAAATTTTCAAGGAAACTCTATTTATACCATTCAAGAAAGGGCATGGACAACATACCGTTGGGCTGAGAAACTGTGAGTATATTCTGTTCATATATGAATACAAAATCTTCAAACAAAAACTAAGATTCTCCTTAGTTCACAATATTGAGGTCAACACTTCTGAGGAAAGGTATTTCCCAATCTTATGTCAGATTAAGCTCACTTGATTGAAATTGAAACTATATGGATAAAGATAAACCTTCACATGGATTGGGAGTGTAGCTCAGTGGTTAAACAGTTCCTTAGCATGTGTGAGTCCATGGGTTCAAACCTGAGCTCCAGAAGTAAAGGGGGGGGAGGGCAAAGACAAGGACAATTAAATTTCATAGACCTTCTTGGTGAGCAATTTCTTTATTCTTTCTGTCTTCTTCTTTTTTTTTTTTTATCTTTTCGTTTTGTGTATTTTGGTACCGGGGATCAAACTCATAACCTTACAATCACCAGGCAGGTGCTCATGCCGCTGTGCTAAATTCCCAGCCTTCATAGATCCTCATGGAAAGAAACAATTGAAATTTTTTTATACAAGGAGAATGTGATTACATTCTTAATGAAGCAAAATGAAATGAAAGGTAAATAAAGAACTTCCGTATGCTCTAATGATCCATCAGTGAGGTAATCACTAGTTTTGGTCTGATGTGTATCTTTCCTGATGTTTCCCATGCATTTGCCTACACACATACTGACATACAGTGAAATAGGGTTGTCAGGTGGCTGTCTTTTTTTTTTTTTTTACCTTAACAGTACTACCCTGCAACATGAGTCTCTCACTTTTGATACACCAGAGTTCTCTCCTACCCCACAGATAGTGGGTTACCCACTCACTTACACTCCTACAATATTCCATAGTGTGTATTTTTGTTTGTTTTGAAATGAGTCTCACCATATAGTGCAAGCTGGCCTTGATCTCATGGCAGTTCTGCTTCCTCAACTTCTTGAGGGCTGGGATAACAGGCATGCACCACCCCAGCTCTCACGATATATTCATTTTGTCTTAATTTAGGGTTGTTTGTTTTTTGAGACAGGATCTTGCTATGTAATACAAGATAATCTTGAATTCACCTATGTCGCCCATCTTCCTGCCTCAGTCTCCCAAGTGCTGGGATTAGAGGTGCACCACCATGCCTGGGTGTCATGGTGTATTAAATAATATCCCTATTGATGGATGTTTAGAGTATATCCAGAATTTTTTTATTTTTTAAAATTAGTGCACTGCAGTATATGATGATTACAATCCTCATGGGCAATTGGCACATGTACATGATACCATACATCTCAATTCTTTTTCTCATCCCCAGTTCTCCATGTCCCTTACCTCCATCTCTTAATCATCTACTTTCTGAGATCTATCCCCCTTTTTCCTATTATCTTTAACTTTGCTCTTTATTTAGACTTTGGGTTTCTCAAATAAGAGAACCTTTGAGATAGTTAAATGTGTGTTTGATTTCTTTAAAAGGCTGGAGTTTCTTTCTCTTTATGGCAGAGTACTGCACTGTGTATAAATACATTGTTTTTATCCATTATCTGTCAATACACATAGCGGCCCCTTCCAAGGTTTAGCTATTATGAATTGTGCTGCTACAAACATGACTATGAATTCATCAATGTAACATGATGCCTTTAATTCTTCTGGGAAAATACCTAGATGGGGAATAACTGGGTCAAGTGGAATTTCTAGTTGTTTTTAGAGGCAACTACACACTGATACCCATAGTGATTGTACTAGTTTAGAAGTGTTTTTTTCCCTATAACCTCACTACCATTTTTTCTTGTTTGTCTTCCTGCTGGTAACCACTCTTTGTGGGATAAGGTGAAATTTTATTACTTTATAACACTCTAATGGCCATAGTTATTGAGCATTTTTTCAAGTATTTATCAGCTGTTCATACTTCTGAGACGTGTCTATTCATTTTAGTTGCCCATTTTTTGGTCAGGTCTCTTATTTGGGAGGTGTCTCTCCAGGTTTCTTTTTGTTGTCTCTTCTTTTGGCACCTGGAATTGAACTCAGGACCTTGCACCTGCCAGGCAGATGCTTATGCCATTGAGCTACATCCCCAGTCCTCTCCAGCTTTCTTGTTACCTGTACCACACAATGAACATGTTGTTGATGATTCTTTGTGACCATGGGCAAATATTTCTCTAGAACAAGTGCCTACAAAGGGGATTGTTGGCATGAGATTGTTTTAGATACGAGACTTTAATTGCTCTAGGTACACTCCACGTAGCAGGACCTGACAGTGCTCATTTCCTCATGCTTTTTCATCACTGTATATCCTTCAGGTTTCTGAGGAAGTGTGATTCAAATAACCTTTTCATCTTCCAGAAATCTCAGTGAAAATTACATCACCGAACTACATAAGGATTCCTTTGAAGGCCTGCTAAACCTCCAGTATTTGTAAGTTAGTTAATCATATTTATTTGAGTTTAGAGTTATCTGTAAAATGAGGAGGCAGTTCTAATTATATATTCTCCAGAATCTCTTCCAGAAATAAAATGCTGTAAGTGTGCAAGTTTGTATAGGTCTCAGTCTATGTCTATCATCAAATACGCTATGCACATTTTCACTTTTTAAATCATAACATACAAATGGGAAAAACCCAACTTACACAGGAAAAGTGGTAATAAGATCTGAGCACTTAATTGTGTTATAATATGAACCTTGGTTTATTAGTGCTTATGTGCCATTGGCTTATATTTGTATTTACCATATAGGCCATCGATCCAATTGATCCACAGTCTTTTTTATTATCTCATAAATTCATTATGTTTTTGTCATGTTTTCATTTTTAAGGGTTTATAAAAAAGGAGGGTGGGGATACAGCGAGTAGTACAGCACCTGCCTGGCAAGTGTGAGGTTGTAAATTTGAGAGTTCAATTCCCAGTACAAAAAAGAAACAAACCTCTCACCACTATATACAATAGAGACTGTATCTGACCTGCAAAGTCTGTAAGTACTTGCTATATGGTATTTACAATAAAGGTTTGAAAAATTTGAATCAGAACAAAATAATTAAAGTTAACTTTATAGTGCTGCCTAGAGGACCAGAACGTACTGAATAGACCGCCTGTGCTAACTGGAGCGCCATTAACCCAGGGTGCTTAAGACGATTGAATCTGAATGAAAGTAACACCTAAAGTATTAAACAAGTCTTTAAAGTATTAAATGATTAACTAGGCAGGTAAAATGTAATATTATCCAGATGGTTAAGCTACTAGAAGACTTGACTGCCTGCATTTCAGTGCTGGAATTGTTATACCCATCTTAAAAACAAGTGTTTAAAATGGTGATTAAATGGTATAGTGTGGTGGTATACTCCTGAAATCCCAGCATTTGGGAGGCTGACACAGGAGGATCATAGCAAGTTCAAGACCAGCCTGGGTTACAAAGTGAGCCCAAGGCCAGCTTGAACTGCATAGCATGACCCTGTCTCAAAAAAAAGACAAAAAAATGCTATCGCTGGAAATGTTTAAATAACATCTCTGCAGCCTTGTTGTCAAGGAGGAAATACTTGCATAGTGCTTTTATCTGTTTATAGAAAGTAAGATACTGTGTTCTTTGGTGTGAAAGCTTGATATATTTTTTTTGTTTTGTTTTGTGTTTGGTTTGGTTTGGTTTCTGGTCCAGTAGGTCCAGAAGTGTAAATATCATTAAAGGTAATTAAACTAATTTGTGGTATTTTGGCAAATAGCGCCTTTTTTCAAATGTAGAAGGCTTGAAGAAAGTAGGCATAAAGTACTTTTATTACATGGAGCCAAAAAGTCTCCGGAATTATGAAACTTTGGAGGCCCTATTGGTGGCAAACCTGTGGCACACTTGTATTCATAGACTAAAAATCAAAGGAAAGAAAACAATTGTTCCATGGGACAAGAGACCACAAAAAAGCAAGAGTAACTTGCCCATGAATGGCAGAATGGGTAAGAAAAATATGGTATATTCATACAATGGAAAGCTGCCTAGCTATAAAGTAGGATAATCTTGAGGCTCTTGTAGGGAAATGGTTACAACTGAGATCATGTTCATGGGTGAAATGGTTTGGACCCATACAGGTGAAAACCAAGCTATCTCCTAGCACAAAAAACCGAAGGAGTTAGTGGGATCCGAATGGCACATTAGATATTATGACACTGACGGTGGAGAAAATGCCTAAAAAAGGAAAGTAGTAATAACTGTTAATTTTTGATGATCCTGGTTTGAATTCTTGTATAATTTTCAAAATTTTCTTAGATTTGATTTTTGTTCTGCCTTGTTACATCTTACTGTGCCTGATATGGGCAGCTATTTTGAAGGTCACAGGACGTATTGCAGTAACTATTGCTGGTTTCCTATTATCTTGTTTTGAAGTTCTATAATGCTTTTATTCTTTTGTTTTGATTGGATGATGATTTTGAAAAAAATAATACATTATGGAAGCCACTGTTGATTTCCTATCACCTTGAAGTCTTTCATTCTTTTATTTTGATTGGTTTTGTTCTGTTTTCTTTTGTTTGATTTTATTGCATGTAATGATAAGCACAAGCTATTTTGAACAAAATGGAGACATTATGGTAGACATTAGTAATTTCCCAGTGTCTTGTTTAGAAGTCCTTTATGCCTTGAACTGTTCTGTTCTTATTTGCTTTCTTCTGTTTTGTTTTGTTTTATTCTCTTTAAAATAAACAAGAAAGAAATTGAGAGCTAGACTTCATGGTGCAACACGTGTAATCCTAGCACTCAAAAGAGTGAGGAATGAGGATTGCTGCAAGTTTGAGGCTTGCCTGGACGACAAAGTGAGTTCAGGGCCAGCCTGAATGGCACAGCAAAGCTCTGTCACAAAATGAGGGGAAGAAGTAAAAGCAATTAAGTAGTACACTTGCAGTCTTAGCACTTAGGAGGAGGAGACAAGAGCATGGTGAGTCTGAGACCAGCCAGAGCTACACAGTAAGTTCAAGGCCAGCCAGGACTACCTAATTTAGAACTGAAAAACAACAAAAAACAATCTAACAATTGTATATTTTATTTACAAATATCTTGAAGGTGAGAGTCCTAAAGGAATTAGAGACAGGGCATAGGGTATAAAATGTTCACATACAAGCCCAAGATTTTGACAAAGAAAGTTTGCAATATTTCCAATTCTAAAGTCTAATATTCATACCACTTAGATACTTATTAGTTATTTAATGCAATGTTTTCCTTTTCCTTATTCCAGAGATTTATCATGCAATAAAATACAGTTTATTGAAAGAAATACATTTGAAGCACTACTTTTTTTACAGTTCTTGTAAGTTGAAAATATAACTTCATTATATTTACAGTCTTGTAAGTCTCTTTGCTACTCATTTGGAAATCCTTTAAACCTCTACCAAAGTATATTATAAAGATTATTGCACAGGTCAGAGAGAGGCACTACAGAGCAATGATTCTCAGTTGGTTTGATTTTGCATGGAGGCGACAACTGCTATTGGAATCAAGGGGGCAGAGATCAGGGATGCTGCTAAGCATGCTACTGTGTTCAGTCAGACATTCAAAGAATCAGCCAGCTCCAAACGTCACTAGTGCGGAACCTGTAAAGTGTTGTTCAAGAGCAAAAAAGATTGCTCAGCACAAGAATTTATTAAGCTTTCACTCTTTTATATCTAGTGCATTTCACATGTAAATAGGAAAGTGTAAGTTATAAGCCAGCATCTTCCAGTGAGATTTCTTTAGTGTATGGAAACAGTATTGCAAGTGATGTTTCATCATATATAAATTGGAATAACTGCCAAATAAGAAATGTTCAGAAAGAACCTCTTTATTCTTTCAATTATGTCTTTTCTTTTTCTAGAAATCTTCGTTGCAATTTAATCACAGAAGTGAGCTTTGGAACATTTCAAGCATGGCATGGAATGCAGTTTTTACACCAAGTGTAAGTGAAATAAATGATAAAAGCATGTAAAAACAAAAACTATGAAAACCAAATCTATTTACCAGCTTCATGCACTTATTCATTAGCTGGATCCTGTTAAGAACTCTAAAAAGTAAGTCATAAGATCGACTAATTACTTTTAGATGAGACCACGAGTATCCAGGGTGGTATAGCCAAAGACTCCATTCATTATTTTCAAATGAAGAAACTAAGGTGCAAAGAGGCCAAAGGATTTGATACAACATTTTTGATGACAGGGTCTTGCTACGCAGTCCACGCTGGCCTCAAACTTAAATTTGTCCTGCCATAATCTCCTGAGTGCTGGGATTAGAGGCATGTGGGTTTTTCTTACCAGAAAGCAATTGCTTCCTGGAGATGAGCAAGCTGACTTCTTTAACTTCTAGGTAATCTGCTCTGCATTTTCAGGTACTGGTCTTTGGCATGAGCAATACAAGTTGTCACACAAGTAACACTCAAATTAGCATCGTTTGGAGCTCAGGGCTGTTGTGAATGCTGTGAGTGTTCCTTGAAATTCCACTTGCTTCCTTCTCACATTCAGAGTTCTAACTATTCAAATATATACACTAGAGAACTTCAAAGAATGAAGTTTAATATAAGGTTCTACAAGAAGTAAGAGGTACCAAAGCTTTTTCAGTGCCGGTGTCTACTAAATGGGAAAGTAGAAAAAATTCCTGAAAGCCTGCCACCAGGTACTTCTCTCCCTAACCACCCACAATGTTATTTTTCAAAAAGTATTGACTTCTGAAGTTATGAATTATCTGTGTGCGATAAGAACCTTCAAAATGTCCAACAGGTAGGTGTTTGTGATAAGAGGTAGTGTGAAAAATAACTATAAAAATACATTTCTCTAGTCTAATTCCTTATGTTTTCTCTCCTGCTCCCTTTGATAAGAAGTGCAGGCTTTATTTCTTTCAGTTAACATTTAACAGCCTGAAGGTGATTTTAGACTCAAGATGAAAATTCCCATATCCACCTGAGTTGGGAAAGACTTCCCACCTGTCTTGTGGTCCAAAGTACAGGTTCACACAGTTTATTTTTAAATCCCTGGAGGGAGGTTTAGGATGCATCTGGAGCTGGTTAACTTCACCTGCATCCTCAACCTGAGTGAACTCCTCACTCCCCTTGTCAACCTGGCGATGCACAGCTTGGGAGATACTGAAGGTTTGCTTTTGAAGGAAAGTGGGGGAGAGGTGGTGCATTAGAAAAGACTCATAAGGAAGCAGACAGCGAATTGTGACATCCGATGTTAAGATTTTTCTTAACAGAAAGGCAGTTGCTTCCTGGAGATGAGAAAGTGAGAGCTAAGTGGTGCTAGACATTAATGTTCACACTCCCTGTGGATAGAGCCCTGCCTCTCAAACTACTTAACAGTTACTTCAGTAGATTTGCACACTAAGTCAACTGTAGCATGTACCTGTAGTGCCAGCTAATCAGAAAGGCTGAGGCAGGAGGATCATTTAAGCTCAGAAGTTGGGGGCCAGCTGCCGCAGTATATCAAGGCCCTGTTTCTCCTGACAAAGTAAAAAGATCAACATAATGGTCACAATCCACCAAGTGTGTGTTTGAGACTGGGTACCTGGGCTTTGGGTTCAAGTTTCCCAGGAGACAAAGCTAGCTGACCATCACCACAGTGAGACAGAAGCCTATTGCATCTCTTTTCTTTTTGCTTTTTTTCATTTTTATCGGTACCAGGGATCAAACTATGCCTGCCTGCTTGCAAGGCAGGTGCTTATGCCACTGAGCTAAATCCCCAGCCCCCGAATCTCTTTTCAAAGGGAAGTTGCCAAGCTAGGATGCCAATACTTTTATGACCAAAATGTTCAGTCTGGAGCTCATTATCAGTTGAAGTATTTTTCCGTGCTATACAAATGCCTCAGCTAAGATGGATTTATCATGAGTTGAGTGGAAGTGAAGCCCTGGGGCTCCTCACTTGCACAGGACACTTCCAATGTCCTGGGCGGGGTCCTGGAAATTTCTGTATGCATACATTTTGCATACTTTTTCATTAAAAGGCACTTTGCAAATTTCATAAGATTCAGGCCCCGCTAAGTCTGGTTTCATCCCTGGGTTCCAGGGAATTATACTCCAGGTAGTTAAATCTCTTTGATAGAGCCTTTGCATTACTGACAAAATTGAAACAGTAATTAGCAATGTGTTGGTGTCAGTCGGACTTGAATCTGAAATCCACCTCAAAGATATGCCAAGAACTCAGTAGTAAGGTGCCACTCTTTGAGTGGTAGGAAGACTCACATCTGCAAGATGACAAAGCCACTGTGCTGTGTCACAGTGCTCCTCTCACCCTGTAGTGTACTGTACTTTCCTGCTTTCAGTTGGCCCACACTCACTCTGCAGAGCATTTATCTTCCTTTATTAACTGTGAAACCTTGCTACCTCAGAAAAATCAGGATTGAAATATATTATGAAAAACTGGCAGTGTTGACATTCCTAAATGTTAAGTGTACTCTCCCCACCCCCAACTTTCAAGCATTTCTCCTGCATTCCACAACACAAGTCCACACTGATGGCTGGTTTTTGAAAATTCTTTCAGTCACTTCATCGGTTCTAACATTACAATATCCTCCATTTAGTTTTTTATTATTTTTGAAACAGGATCTTGGTATGTATTCCAGCCTGGACTTGAGCTCACTTTGGAGCCCAAGCTGGCCTTGAAATTGAGGCAATCCACCTGCCTCCATCTCTAAAATGAAGGTCTATGCTTTTACATACTGAGAAGACTTTATACAGTAGAAAGACCCTGACATATGTAGAGTATATTCACATGCTGGCTTGTCTAGGGTCAGTCAACAACTGATCTAAGAGAGAACAGGGGAAAATCTAAGTCTGTCCCAGCTGAAGTATTGATGTTCGCTCATCTCGGTGCATACACTGCCAGTCTGTACCGGGCCCTTGGCAGTTCTTTCTAGCTTCACAGGCAGACACGTGACAGATCAAAATATTGTATGACCGGTGTTGCAAAGGAGACTCCAAGGGCTCCGCTCTCATGCAAGAACAAAGGGGTCTTTATTGGTCCGTGCGCATGGGGTCCTCCGTACAAGCGGGAACAGAGGGCCCTGAGTGTAGGTGAGGCAGGTGCTTTTAAGGGAAAAAATCGCAAAGCAAGCATTTTTTTTCCGAAGCCAATCACAGCAGTTAGAGCGGGATAGTCAGCAGTTTACTTATTTGTGGTTGGTCAGCTCATAAGGGGTGACCAGCGGGTCAGAGTTAATTAACTGTCTTGTTCTACACAACTTATCTTTAGGACACCTGGTTTCTCTACGGCTCGAGTTTGACATGTTTTTACAACCCTGATTAGCGTAATGGCAGGCTCTATCTCTGAGTTCCCTGGCACAGCACAGCCCAAGAATATCACAGCTGCAGATATTTTCTTTTTGATCCTCCCTAGTTGCTGAGTTTGGACTAAGCCATGAGGCCCAGAGCTACTTCTAGCTGAGAAACAGCATCTTGTTTTTAACCTTTAAATTTCTGGTCCTTCAATATCAACTCAGGTTTGTCCTTTGAGCTGACACACTTTGGCTCTTTAATTTGTAAAGCTTAAAAGATTTGGGTGTTAACATCCAGCAATTACTTCACCTTCCTTCTCCAACAAGGCAATGTCTCTACTCTTGGAAGTTTAGTAGTTCTTCCTCTTCCTGTCACATTTCTTTAATGCTACATTTATCAGGTGTCTGTTAAGTTCCAGGCACTACATTAAGTAGATATGCTAATGAGATAACACACTGAACACTCTTGAACTGGTACTTAGCATGTGGCAAACACTCAAATATGTTACTTTAGTGTCATTTTCCCAACAACTCTTGCAGTGCTACTATTATTCCCCTAATTCAAAGATGAGGAAGCTGGACTCAGAAGCCATGGCTAACTCAGTCAGGTGCACACCATTCATGAGTGGTAGAACTACTCAGCTTTGCACACAATTTTCTATGCAGCTTTTGTTCCCTTGTACTAGGAACTGACATAACAATTTGGCTTTTTGTACTTCGACTGTACTTTGGAGTTGGTTTCTATCTTCAGTGAGCCTTTAGAACACAGAGCTCCAACTGATTTCTACTAATTTGACACTTGTAGAGTTCTTGGCCTGGCCATGACAGTTGTGAGCATCTGAAGGTTTACTGTTGACTGGCCAGGGTAGACAAAATCTATAGTCATTTTTATTGCCCTTTGTGGTACTGGGGATTAAACCGAGTGCTTTTGCACTGAGCCACATCCTCAGTCTTTTTATTTAGAAACAAGGTTTCCTGAAATTGCTAAATTATCTGGGCTAGGTCAGACTTTTGACCTCGGGCCTCAGCCCCCTATAGTGCTGGGACCACAGGCCTGCCCCACTGGGCCTTGCCTTCACAGTCATTCTTAGTGGCTGGGGGAAAGGAAGCAGGGAGGTAGGTAGGGTTGGAGAAGCTGCTTTCACAGAGCCCAGCAGTGAGTGGCCTCTTTAAAGATATATTTTGAGCACTGAGCTCATTAGTCACGTGACATTCATATCTTTCACTTCATGACATCATCTCATTGAATACTGACTAATGTTACAAATGAAGCAAATTGGTCAACTTCGGGAGAACATGGCAGATAGATAACATCAGCTACGGAGGCTCTCTGAGATAGCCAGCTTACATTCCGGAACAGTGTGGTGTGGGGAGTCCTAAGCAGGGGGAGATGTACCCTGCTGACCCTGGAATGAACTAAGCTGAGAGAAACCAACTGGAAATTTAATCCCAGTGCTATGACTGGAACAGCTAAAGTGTCAGTGCCGAAGCTGGAACCTGTGCCTCTGGACACCGCGGCTTGAATTTCCTGCTGCTGCTGCTGCATCTGAATCAGCACAGCAGAGATAGAGACACGAAAGCTCTGAGAGTGGAAATAGGCAAACCGAATTGAGAGCAGAGTTGGTGGGGAGCCCTGCATCGACCTATGGTGAGTGAGAGGAATGGGGACCCTTCCATAGACTATCATACTCAACAGAGGACATTCTGGGACAGGGCAGAGTAGCCATAACAGGACGCTGCAGTGATTTCAGTTACGTATTCCTCTCTCAAGCAGGACTGGTGGGGAATGATTGACCTGGGTGATGCTGCAGACTAAGACCCAGTAGGCTAGCCCAAACCAGGTCCCTGCACCTGGCAGTGCACCCTAATGCAGTGAAGCCTTCAGCATGTTGACTGGCCTGGAGGGGCAGGGCCAGCATAGGCTGCCCAGATCTGTGTCTCCCTAGTACACTGCAGTGGGTGGGAACAGCTACCCGGCGCGATTCAAACAAACTGTAACTGACAAAGAAAGAAAATGAGCCTCCTATATACGCTTGTATGGAAGGAACAAAAAGTATGGGAAGAGGAAGCAACAAGAAAGGGTCCTCGGTCCCCAATCCTGAGAACACTGATCCAGGAAAGGTAAATGCAAAGGAGAATGAGGACAGAAAACATGCAATATCAGGCATAGCACCAATAGACATAAAGTGGTATATCCAGGAACTCATAGACGAGTGCAAAAGTGAAGTATTTAACCCAAGTAAAGCAAGATATAAGTAGAATACTTAAAGAAATGTTAAGCACTTCCCACGAAAAAACAAATGGTGGAATGGAAGAACAGAAAAAAAGGGGAGAATTGTTTGATGGAGAAAATAGAGAAAACATAGAATACATGAAGCAGGTTCAAAGAGATTACCAGGAAACTAAAAACTCTATTGAAAGTTGGCATAACAGTTTGAAAGAAACTAAGGATAGATAATTTGAACTGGAGGACAGATTTGTAATGTGGGAGCATGAAAGGAAAAATTTCTTAAAAATAACAAGGAAACAAGCAGTAACAATTCAAAGACTAGAAGATGATAACAGGCTCTATAACAAGAATTAAGAATGTAAAGGAAGAAGCACGAATACAAACAAATGAACTGCAAAATAATATTCACAGAATAATAAAATTCTGTAAAATTATTCACAGAATAATAAAGGAGAACTTCCTTCATGGGGGAAAAGGTAAAGATACTCAGATCTATGAGGCATACAGGATCCCAGCCACCTACAACGCAAACAGAACTACATTCAGGCATATAATAATAAAAGTTCCAGAAATCCAATATAAGAACAGAATATTAAAAGCTGTCAGAGATGGGGCATAAGTGCCTACCTTGCAAGTGTGTGGTTGTGAGTTCGATCGCGGGTACCAATAAAAAATTAAAAAAAGAGAAAGACAAAAAGAAATCTGTCAGAGACATGAAACATCACTTACAAGGGAACACCCATCAGAATTACAGCAGGTTCTCGGCACAAACCATCAAATCACGAAGAGCATAGGGCAAAATAATTCAAGCTTTGAAAGACAATAACCTCCAGCCAAGATTGATATATCCTGCACAACTCTCCCTAGAAATCAATGGAGAAAAAAGGTGCTTCCAGGATAAAGAGGAACTAGGAGAATTTGCAACCACCAATTCAGCTCTACAGAGAATACTGCAGGACATCCTAAAAGAGAAAAATAGCAAGATTCCAGAAACAGTGGCAGAGAGGCCACAATGAATGGAGCAGAAAGCGAAATGAAGAAGACAAACTGACAACTAATGACAGAAAAAGAGTTCAACAGAAATGAGGCAGAGAAGGTTGGATGGTATGAACAGCTATTTTGGAGAAAACAAGACATCATAATAGCTAGTGCTGATTTAATATCATCTTGTTTTGCAGTTCCATCAAGCTTTTGTTCTTCTGTCTCCATCGGTCTTAACATGTATCTTACTGAATTTTAGTATATGTGATAATATAAACAAAAACTTTTATAGACAAGGAGATAATACAGAAACCATTGTTCATTTTCTGTTAGTTGGTTCTAAATACCCTGTAATACTGTCATTCTCTTGAATGGTTTTACATTGTCTTGATATGTTTGATGCTATAGTATACGAAGTTATACTCAAAGATTTCAGGGAAAGAGACGCTATGGTAACTACTTTTATGTCGGGATATCTTGTGGTGAAACACTATTTTGCTTAAATGGTTATGCTCTGATCTGTGCTGTTTTGTTGTTATGTCCTCTTTTATCTCAATCTCCTTTTTTATTATATTTTTATCTTTTTAATTAAGGGAAAAATAAATTAAAAATAGCGGGATATATTATAGTAACCCACTTTTATTTCCTATTAACTTGATTTGAAACCCAGTATTGCTCTCACCATCTTGTTTTGACTGATTTTACTCTATTTGTTTTGCTTGATAGTACCAAGTTTGAGAGCATAGGCAACAACTGTGAAGACAATAAGATTCACTATGATGCCCATTCTGGTTTGACTATTATCTTCTTTTAAAGTCCTCTAATGTGTCCAATGTTTTGGTTTTATTGGTTTTGTTCTTTACTGTTTTGTTCAATTTTATTATAACTAATGATATAGGCACTTCTTTTAAGATAGCAAGAGGCATTATGAGAACCATTGTTGATCACCTTGTATTCTGTTTTTACATTATGAACTATGTCCATCCTTTTGATTTCACTGACTGTTTTGTTATGTCACATTTGGTTTTATTCTCTTCAAAAAAAAATAATAAGAACTGTGGGAGTAATAAAACCCAAAAGTTGTAATTGTCATTGTAAAAAAGAGAGGAAAAGGAAGTGCTCTAAAGGATATAACTGCATGTATATTTAAGTGTATAAGATAGATAACTATATTACTAAGTTTTTGTTGGGTCACTCAACAGTACTGTTTACAGTCTCACTGTTTGAATGTCCACTTTTTAGGCTTTCATTTTGTAACCTGAACAACTATTTCTAAGATGACAATATGTAATCTATTAACTAGTGATCTCCTGTTTGTTTTTGAAATTCTGTATAACTTGTACCCTTTTTCTGTTTTTTTTTCTTTTTCTCCTTAAGTAAAATTTTTTTAAAAAATTAAAAAACAAAACAAAAGGGGCTGGGGATTTAGCTCAGCAGCATAAGCGCCTTCCTTGCAAGTGTGTGGTCGTGAGTTCGATCCCTGGTACCCATAAAAATGAAAAAGACAAAAAAAATGCACAAAACAAAACAAATGAAGCAAGTTAAACCATATCTGGAAGAATGCACTAAATGGGGAAGCTCACCATGTAAGAACGAGCCGCGTGGCTCCCAGTCCCACCACTGACTCCCTCTGACCTTGTCAAGGATGAGTCTGAAAGTCACTCCTCTTTCTGCCATCTGCCAACAGGATTGCGCTCTCAGCACATGGTCCTCCATATATTACAACACAGCTCTTTTCAAAATAAAAGCACAGCGTTATAGAGAACAGTTCAGTGGTATTTAGTGTATTCATGAGATTCTACAATAATCTCCATTATCTCATTCCAAAACACCCTCATCACCCTACAAAGCAGCCCTGTACCAGTGAGTGAGCACTCCCCATTTCCTTGGTGTGCTGCCACACCAAGCTGGGTTTGGTTTTGTGAGACAGAATCTTGCCATGCAGCTCAGGCTGCCTTCAAGTTCATTGTATACCCCAGGCTGACCTTGAACTCATCATTGTCACTCTGTCTCCTGAGTGCTAAAACTATAGGGATGCCTCATTATGCCCAGCTGGAGCACAAAAGTTTTTAATTTTGGTAAAACACGCTTTATATATTTTTCCTTTGGTTATCATATATGAGAAACAAGTCATAAGCATTTGCTCCTATGTTTTCTCCTAAGGGTTTTATAGTTTAAGACCTTGCACTAGGTATCTGCTACGCTTTGAGTCAGTTTTCTAATACGGTAGAGGGGCCCAACATCACTCTTCTGCATGTGCATATCCAGTTGTCCTACCAACACTCTGGAAGACTATTCTTTCGACACTGAATTGTCTTCACACCCCTCTCAATAGTCACTTAACGGTAATGTGACGATTTATTCCTAGGCTGTCAGCTCAAATCCATTGTTTTACAGTCTAGTCTTACTCTAGTACCACACTCGGTTTGCTGCAGATCTTCACTGGGTTTGGAAAGTGGAAACTGAGCCCTAGTCTGTTCTTTTTCAAGATGGTTTTGATGATCCTGAATCTCTTGACTTGCTATGTGAATTTTAGAAACTAGCTCGCCAGGTTTTAGAAAAAATAACAGCTGGAATTTTTTTCTTTTTTTTGTATTAGAGATCAAACTCACAACCATGCATCTGCAAGGCAGGTATTTGTGCCACTGAGCTGAATGCCCAGCCCTCAAGCTGAAATTTTATGTTTTCTTTCATTTTGTTTTGCAGTGCTGGGCCTCATGCTTGGTAGGTGAGTGCTATACCACTGAGCCCAGCCCCAGCCCAGGTACTGGGGTTTTGATAGGAGCTGTCCTGAAATCATAGCTCAAGTTGAAGAATAGTGACATCTTTTTTTGTACCAAGAATCAAACTCAGGGCCTAGTCCTTGCCAGACAGGTGCTGTGCCGCTGGGCTACATCGTCGGCAGCTGTGCCCTCTTAATAGTAATGATGTCTTCTGGTCCATGATGACAAATGTCTTCTATTTATTTAGATCTTTTTTTTTTGTTTTGTTTTTTTCATTTTTATCGGTACCAGGGATCAAACTCACAACCGCCTGCTTGCAAGGCAGGTGCTTATGCAGCTGAGCTAAATCCCCAGCCCCTCATTTAGATCTTTAATTTCTTTTAACAGTGGTTTATAGTTTTCAATGTATATTTTGTACCTCTTTGGTTACATTTAGTCCTAAATGTTTTATTCTTGTCAACACATGGGATAATTTTCTTAATATCATTCTTAATTTTCTTTCTGCCCCGGGAGGGGGGGGAGCCCAGGGCCTTGTATGTGCTAGGAAAGTATGCTGCATCGAATTATACTGCAATGGAAAAATATAGCCAATTTTTGCATAAGGATCTTGTGTCCTACAAATTTAACCTTATTAGTCCTAGTTTCCTTCCATGTATGCATTCATTATGGTTTTCTCTTCTCTTCTGATGTTTGTTTAATTAAGAGGTTTCACTATGTAGTTCAGACTGGCCTTGAACTTTTTCATTTTTATCGGTACCAGGGATCGAACTCACAACCGCCTGCTTGCAAGGCAGGTGCTTATGCAGAATTCACCAGTGAAGCCATCTGATCATGAGATTCTCTTCATCCCACCAAAGAGAAAACAAAAGGCTCTTCTGTTGTGAGAAGTTTTGATCAATAACTCAATCATTACATTTAAATATGTCTGTTCAGGTTTTGTTTTTCCTTCAGTTTCTAGAACTGTATCTATCATCTGGGTTATCTAAATTATTGGCAGATAATTTTTTGGTTTTCCCATATAATCCATTCCATGTAATTAATAATCCATTCTAGGTCAGTAATAATCCCACCCTTGTTTGAGAGACAGTTTATTAGTTCAGATTGACCTTGAAATTGCTGTGATCTTCCTGCCGCAAGGTCCCAAGTGCTGGGATTATAGGCATGTGTCACCACACCCAGAAATGTCCCCTTCTTTGATAATGATGTTTGCCCCCAAAACAGGGTCTTGCTGTATAGTTAACGCAGGCCTTGAACTCACAGCTGTCTTTCTGCCTCAGCCTTCCAAGTGCTGGGATTACACACCCAGCTCAGCATAGTTGATCTTTTACTATTCATTTGTTTTGGTATCCAGAATACAATTTAGGGCCTCACACTTGCCAAGTAGGCACGGGGCTGCTAGGCTGCTAAGCTATCTGCCCAGGACCTTTGTTAAAAACTAATTTTTGGCTATGTTGATTTTCTCTACTGTTTTTTAATTCTCTGTTTCACTTTTCTCTGATCTTACTCTTTATTTTTTCTTTCTGATGTCTTTTTTTTTAAGTTTCTTAGGTTTTTGCCTTGTTTATTCAGAGCTTTATATTACTGATGAGAATCTTTAATATTTGCGATTGTATGTATAGCTTTCCTAAAGTGTTGGTGCTGGGTGTCACCATTTATATTTATTACTTCATTGAAGTGTTTTTTCACGTCTCTGTTATTTGTTCTTGACCAGTAGGATCCTTATATAAGCTTAGTTTCCATATTTAGGAATTTACCAGACTTCTTCCTGTCATTGATCTGTGATTTCATTCCACCTTGTTTAGAGAACATATTTTGTGTATTAGTCCTTTTAAGTGTATTGAGACTTGAAGCTAGGTTTGATGACACATGCTTGTAATCCCAGCATAGGAGGTTCAGGAATGAGGACTGCAAGTTCAAGGACATGCTGGGGTACATAGCAAGTGTGGAGCTGATCTGTGTTACAGAGAGAGACCCTGTTTCAAATGAAACGAAAGAACTGACTGGGACTAGACCTATGGTCTATCTCAATGTACCTGATTTAATAGTAAAAGGTCCCAAAGTCTTGGGACAGATGCATGTGGCACTACAGGTTTTCTCAATGTGCCCGTAAGAAGACTGTGTTTCTTCTGTTTTTACATTGTTGGGAAGTGTCCTATACGTGAATGTTAGGTTTGTTGGCTTCTAGTGAAGGCTTCCTGATGGTGCAGTCACTTTTAGGGTTTTTGTTTTTAGCCTCTTTTTTTCCTTCTCTTTTCTATCCACTTTTTTTCATTTTCTCTTTCCCACAGTATATTTTAGAGACCTACAGAATCCCCAAAAGGAAGAGTGTTTTCTGCAGTCTAAGGTTTATTCATAGGTAATGACAGAAATTGATTTTTTTAACCTATGAATATGCTCCATACCAAAAAACAGAACAACTTTTCATGTAATTCCATGCATATTGAAAATACAGATAATTTTTATCCCATTGCATTTTTCAGAATTCTCAATCAAAATCCTCTGAAAACCATTGAAGATCCATCTCTTTTTACATTACAAGCATTAAATTATCTGTAAGTACTGCCATAATCTTTAAGTCATAATACGACTTCGGCTCTTCTTGCTTCCTTCTAAGAATGGAAAAGTACTGTACTGTTATTCTAAAGGTCATAAGTTTAATTTTAATCAGGTTATTCACAAAAGGATTCAGATGTAAAATAGGCAAGAGAGTCAGCAGGGATAGGGAGCACCGCTGAGGAACATGGTAGATATGGAACACATCAGTGGTTGTAGGAACACCATTTACACCAGAAAACATAGTGGCCTTGTTACTAAAAGTAACAACACAGTCAGAGAGATGTGAATGCAATATAAAAATGTGAAGTATGATGGTGACTGAAACATAGATGCAATTCGTTCAATTGATGATGAAAACATTAAATTTGAGCTTTTGCATGAAGACTTCTCTGGGATTACAGTTCATGATTAATTTATGTTCTGGCTTGTTTTAAAGGGAGGCAAAAGTGCAATAATGAGATGTCCTTCAAATACCTGCTGAAGCATGGACTATTTGCGTTGGGTTTCCTCATTTCTGTCTGACTTTCTTCTTCAGGGACTTGGGACAGACGCATGTGTCACTCACAGTACTGGAGAACATTCTCGCGAAGTCTCTTGAATTGGAAAGACTGTAAGTTAGTTTTTTTCTCAGATCTGTTTCTCTTAAGGTTCATTGTTACTAACTTTGTTTTACTATTAAGTCAGGCTTATGGACGTGTGATTTCCGTGCCATAAAACTCACATGTTTAAGGAGTTTGTGTGGTCATGTAGCCACCACCACACCCCTGCTGTAAAACATCTGGGTCACCTTCAAAAGGCAGCTTATGTCCTTCACAGCTGGTTCACTCTATTTATTACAGCTCCCAGAATCTGCCAGTCTTATTTCTGCCCTATACGTTTACATTTTCTGGGAGGTCTTATAAATGAAATCATGCAGTGTGCAGCCATTTGTGTTTGGCTACTATCCACTTAGGATAATCATTCATACATCCCACATGCAGTCTATGGGAGTTGAAATGGCAGCTAGATGTGGTGGCCCATGCCTGTAAATCCTAGCATGCAGGGAAACTGAGGCAGGAGGATGGCAAGTTGAAAGTCAGCCTGTTAATCTTAATGACAGCGTAACCCTGTCTCAAAATGAAAATGAATAAATACATTTAAAAGCTAGACAGAAAGAGAGGCTGGAGCCAGCCCAGTGTGAATGCTTTCGGTATAGTCCCTAGTACCCCAATTAAAAACAAAGAGTTACCACATCTTCTTTACCTGATCCTGGCATTTCAGTTTATAAAAAAGGTCAGCATTTTTAATACCATGTATGTGGATCTATCTCATTGTAGCTTTAGTGTGCATTTCTGTTCTAGCTAAGCTAATGATGAGTATCTTTATGATCAGATATTATTAAGTACTAGGCCTTTCTTACCAAGCTATTACCTCCCCTTCTACATTTTTTTTTTTTTTTTTGTATTTTTACCAGTACCAGGGATCGAACTCACAAATACAGGCTTGCAAGGCAGGCACTTATGCTGCTGAGCTAAATCCCCAACCCCCTCTTCCACATTTTTATTTTGTTATTTTGAAGCAAGGTCTCACCATGGAGTTATGTTGCCCAGACTGGGCCAAATTTTTTTTTTTTAATTTTATTTTGGAAGTGGTAAAATACAATGGAACAAGACAGACTAAAGCCAACTAAGATCATACAGTGAAACTGGTACAGAACTTCACAGCAGGTTCCTGGGATAACAGTAATAGGTATCACAGTATATTTTGTTATCTTTATAACAGTTGTTCTTTCCATAACGTATATCAAAATGAGATGAAATATAGAACATTATAGAACTTATAAAAACAGAATATTGAATAGAGCAGTACCATTAATCAGAATAGAGCAAAACAGTAATAAAAGTATTTGCCTACAAAGAGATGGTAGAAGGAAGTCCCCCTTATATGCTATGGTCAACCTCCCAGAAGACACTCAGATTTCTGGTTCCCATTTGCTCACGGGGGGTGGGGAGAGAAGAGGAGAAGGGGAATAGGGGAAGTGGGATGTTTGACTCTAGGCTGTACATCAGTAGGTTCAATATTGCTTAGCAGGGAGGCAAGCTGATTGTTTGGTTTCAAAGCATCCTAAATTGAAATGTGACGTGGATCTCAGGAGCTACTGGTGGTTTTCCCCCTGGAAGGGCCACAGTCTGCCACACGGCCACCGATTACCAGGGAGGGGAGGTGCATGCTTGTCTTCCTGGTGTCCTAAGTTCCAATATGGCGTGGATCTCAGGAGCTGCTAGTGGTTCTCCTTGGAAGGGCCACAGTCTGCCACTGCTTTACCAGGGAGGGGAGGTGCATGCTTGGCTTCCCCAGAGTGGGCCAAATTTACAAACATCCTACCTCAGTTTCCCAGAGCGCTAAAGTAGAACAGAAATCTTAATTTTGGCGTCGTGGGTGAGGAGAACGAGAGCTCCCGAGATCCAGCCAAGGTGGGACTCCAGCAGCTTATACACGTGCCCTCCTGATAAGTGCCCGCTGCGTGGCCCAGGAAGAGAACCATTACCTGTGAGCCTACTGCCACGTGGGCTGAAAATCAAGCATGAGTCCCACCCCCCCTGCCGCCACCCCCCTCATAGCTACTGTGGATAGATTTCTCAGCATCTCTTGGGCAGATGACCATATGCAATATAGCAAATATGGGGGATTTCCTTCTATCTTCTGTTTGAAGGCAAAGGTTGTTTTCACTGTTTGGTTTTCTTATGTTTCTTTTGCTCTATTCAGTACTCTCAATTGGTTTTATAATGTTCTATGTTCTATTTTTGGTTTGATTTTACTATACCTAATTTACCGGACAACTATTGTGAAGTTAATGAGATACACCATAGTACCTATTACTACTATCCCAGTATCCCACTGGGAAATCCTGTACCAATTTCACTGCATTGTCTTGCTTGGTTTTGTTCTGTCTTGTGCTGTTGCATTTTTACTACTTTGAAAATAAAATTTAAAAACAAAATCTTAACTTTAAAAACTTTGATGAGATACAATTTAGCAAGCTTTTGTTTTACCTAAGAAATCTTTGTCTTAAGAACCCATGGTTTAACCCATGGCTACAAGATTTTCTCACTTGCTTTCTTCGAGAATTGCGCTATGTAACTCTACAGTTATATGCAGGTCCATGACTATTTTCAGCGGTGCTGGGGATTAAACCCTGGCCTTTGCACCGAGTTCCGTTTCCAGCACTTCGTATTGTTAGTTTTGAGACAGAGTCTCGCTAAGTTGCTGATCTATCCAACTTGTGATCCTCCTGCCTCAGCTTCTGAGTGTTAGGATTACAGTTAGGTTTATAATCTACTGTGAGTTAATTTTCATGCAGAGTGTGAAGTATTTTATTGTACTACTGTAGAGTTTTAAACTTTTTTCTGTAGTGCCGTTTTGATGGTTTTTATACCACTGACTGCACTTAAATTGTGCCATCCTCCTCCAATACAGCAAGCAAAATAGAAGCTCACTAGTAGTGAAGTAGTTGAGCGCTTGCAAGAGACCTTTCATTTAGCACTCTGTGCCCATTGTTTCTGTCAGGTCACTTCCTCAACTGACTTCCCACACTGCCAAACCCCTTGGTTTCTGGTCCAAGCTCATCTTCCTCAATTTCATGCAGCACCTGCTTCCCTTCCCACCCACATTAGCTAGACACCATCCTTTCCAGAACGACTAGTAATTCATGGCTGCTTTTCATCACGTAGTCAATGCTCCCTCATCCTCCTCTCACTTCTGCATTTTGAGATACTATGGATCAAACCCAGGACTTGAGCGCACTAGGCCAGCTCTCTCCCTCTGAGCAACCCCACCCCCACTGAGTCCTTCTTGACCTTTTGAATGCTGCAGTTGTCTAGATTTACCCAGTTTGATCTGTGTTGTTATTAACCACACAATATAGGTAGGAATAAACTGACTTTTTTGCCCAGAGTAATGTCTCACATTCACCGCGCCGAACTGAAGTTGTGAAAGGGACCCCACACATTGGAAGCTGATTCCTCTTTTTAGAAGTCGGCGTACTCACTACCCACAGTGAGACTTTTTTTATAATTGGTACTGAAGGTCAAACTCAAGACCACTGCTTGCAAGGCATGCACTTATATCACTGATCTAAATTCCCAGTCCCCAGAGTGAGACTTTCAAGTTGAAAGGAGATGCTTCTGAATGAAAGGACAAATTCCTGTCACTCAGCACTAATCTCCAGGACCTTCATGTGAGGCCCACCACACACACTGCTGAGCTTACCCTTCTGTGGGGACCCCTCTCTCCCTCCTATTTACTCACAATATTCAAGAGCTACAAAGGCTGTTGGCTTTCTACCCAGCTGCACAGGCTGCCTCCAGCACTCCTTCCTGCACCACGCTGTGGAGCCTCATGCTGCCTCTCTACCATTCAAGGGGCCGGTTTCCATTAACTCAGATCTCTGTGTTCTTGTCTGCAGGATCTTACCGAGCATTATGTTCTGCTGCCTCTGCCAGTTTAAAAATGATATTGAGGAGGTCTGCAAGACAGTCAAGCTGCACTGTGACAGTACATGTCGAGCCAATGCCAAGCAGTGTCGTGAGTTTTGATAGCCTAATGACGTTTTCAATTGTATTTGCTTTTTAATTTTTACATGGTGATAGGATTATAAACTATTCATACAACTGGTTTATATATATTTATGCTTCAAAGTGAATGCCATTAACTTTCTGGACTGCTCCCCTACAGATAGTCAGGTTCTAAGTACCATATGATGCAGTAACACAACTGCTCCATATACAAGGGACCCAGAGGAAGGGCTGGAAGGGAGGGGACACCATGCTTGGCTGCGCATCATGCACAGGGCTGTCTGGTACTTTGCTTTCTGGAAAAACCTTCATTCACAATGCACAGTGCACCTTGTAAGCTGGTTTTATATATATTAGGTCTCTATTTCTTCACCTTGGGGCAGGTGTACATCAGTTTTATCTTTTTTTCAAAACTCTATCAGGCCATGCTATTGTATTTGGAACCTGAAAGCTTTTGATTCCATAACTAAAAGTGCTTGTCTCTTCTAAGGGAATGTAGGGTTGTTCTGTGCCCAGATGGTCCAAACCTGAGCTTTTTGTGAGTTTCAGATGACTCAGGTGCATTTAAGGATTTTTCTGTAGGTCAGGTTTATTAGCTCTCACTTCATGCTTGCCACATGTGAGTGCTTGCACATCTAGAGAGCTTGTATACAGAGACAAATAATAAATAATAGTACTTGGCTTCTTATGCAAAAGAACTTTCCTGGATTTTCAAACAAATTCTTACCAATTAACACTATTCATTTTACCCTCTGAGGTGAGAAAAACAAGTTGAAAACAAGATCAGAGGTGTCAAGTGCTACAGCCTCATGCCCAGCCCTCCGTTCCCAATTCTGGGCTCTCCGGAACCCATGTTCCTCTGAGGTCATGATCCTTACCCCCTCCTCTGGCCCTCACCACCACCAGTCACTTAATTCTTCCAGAAGAGAAACACAGTTACACATTGAGCCCTTGACTTTCATACTCTCAGGAGCTTTAGATGCTTAGAAACATTAGAACAGAAACAAAAATAGGGAAAGCATCTGATATGATAGAGGGGCAAGTTCTCTTATACATTTAGGACCTTAAGTCATGTTTATACAGAAACTGCTGCTATTCTGTAGATTTGCTGTTCACTATTCCACAGAGGCAGGCATACAACTAGGCAAATTAAAAATCTCTTATCCTACACCCTGGATCCCTGCTCTGATATAAGGAAGACCCGAGCAGTATAGTATTTGGCTCTGTGTGGAAAAACCTTTTGTTATGGGACTGGACAGTGGCAGTGAACTTACCACAAACGCATGGTTGTAGTTTTCTCTTAAGACAAAAGATGTCTATAAGGAGTTGTTTTTTCTAAATTAAAACCCCAGTATTCAGGTTGCATTGCAGGGTTGGCACTTTGCCGGGAGTACTTGGTTTGGGGTGTGGTTTGGCACTTGATTTCTCTAGAAGTTGCCATCACTACAACTATTTCGAAAATGACAATATGTAATCTATTAACTAGTGATTTCTTACTGTTTATTTTTTTGAAATTCTGTATTACTAGTACCCTTTTACTGTTTTTTTTCTCTCTCTCTCTTTAAATAAAAAAATTTGTAAAAAGTTTGCCATCACTGTGCTAGGATATATGGAAGCAGGGACCAAGTGAAGGCACTAGGCAAACAAGTGGAGCAGACATATCCAGACAAAGACCTGTTAGCAGGAGGAGTGGGGCTTTTACATATCCGCCTTTCTGTCCTAAGAGGACTGTCCTTCATCGTGGTCATCCGACGGTAGTAAGGTGACAACTGACCAGGTGGGGTTAGGGTTAGGGTTAGGAAGACCTGTGCTGCCTCTGCTTCTACACTGTGACATTATGGTGTTTTGGGTCCTGCGTGGGTATGCACAGAAGGTCTGCAGAGAAGCCTGCTGAGCGGGCAAGTACTCGTCAGGATGTGGCCTTTTAATGAGTGCCAATCATTTGGCTAAGTTAAGTTGCTGTATTCCACACTATGGAGTGCTCTCAGAAGGTAGTTAACAAGAGAAGTCATTTTCTTTCTGTTGAGTTTTTTGTAACTTTTTAGATTTGGATTTCTTGTAGTCCATTCCACATGGCACTAAAATAATTACTGACCTCTACCTTCTTTGACTAGTGTGTACAGCTGTGGGCCAGGAAAAAGCTGGGTGTGTATCATTCTCCACTGAGAGCAATGTCTTTTTTTCTGAAAGGGAGAGGCACATCCTTAGGGAACCCTGAAGGAATCTTCATGAAAGTGTTACGAGCCCGGGAACTGAGCACCAGCACACAGCTAACTATCCAGTCTGAAAAATTCTCTTCACAGAAAAGTGTGAACAACCAACAGGGCTTTATGAAAGAGCAGCTAGATATGAACGATGAAAGTGACATCATCAGTGCACTAAGTTACATACTGCATTTCTTCTCCAAGGAAAATCGGGAAGACTTAGAGGCAACAATATTACCATTCATTCAGCTGCTTTTTTCAAAGGTACATGAGGGTGCTAATCCCTTAGGCAACATGAAAAACAACGTGAGAAAGTCTTTGCAATCTGTGGTCAACAATGCACATTTCACAAATAAACTGAAGAAGCTGAACTTTCCTCAAAAATTGCTTAATGATGATATACAGGAAAAAACTAATGATGTGAAAAAGGAAAAGAAAATTGCCATGCCTGTGCAGTCGAGCCTTTTTGATCCCAAATTCAGAGGCCAAATCTTTCCCAAAAAATCGGAAAATGCTGAAGCACCAGAAAACATCCTGGAAGCAGTTGGGCATGGAAGGAAAAGACTTCAGAGAGTAAAGAGAGAACTTGAGAGGAACACAAGAAAAGCTGTTTCTTCTTCAGAAAACGGCATTTTTATTTTAGAGCATGCAAACTCTATAGTTAAAACCATGGTGGGCACCAAGCCAATATTACATTCTGCAAAAGTTCAACGCTTTCACAAAATACACTCACGCATGGCCCACAGAACACAGGAGACCAAGCTGAGTGAAAAGCTGACAAAGGAAAGCACATGCAGTACACTACTGCTTGCAAAGAAGCCTCCATTCCCAGCAGTGAAGAGTCTCGCCAGCCTCCCTTCAAAACAGGTGCTCTTATCTCCAAGAGACCTGGGTATTCAGGAGAATCTTGTCTCAGAATTATATGTGCCTTTAGTAGAAACCACCCCTGTAGAAAACCCTGCTACAGAACATGGTTTTCAAGGAGAGGATTTTGTAGTAAAACTTAGTGTGCCAAAAAAAACTATGTCTAAAAAACCAACTCAGAAGGATCCTCTGGCCATAGACTCTGCTGCTACTTCATCCGACCTCACACCAGCTATGAGGCAGGCCAGGGAGGCACAATGGCAACACCCCAACACAGGGACTGACTCACCCCACAGGGACTTCACCTCCACACTGCTGTCGGCCCCAGGTGATCCATTTGAAATCTACCTAAACCAGCAACTGTGGCCCCTCATCCCCAACAATGACATCAGAAGGCTGATTTCTCAGGTCATCTGGAGCTTAAAAATGGACTGCTCTGAGGCCCACATGCAGCGGGCCTGTGCCAAGCTTATCTCTAAGACGGGACTCCTGATGAAGCTGCTCAGTGAGCACCAAAAAGTCCAGGTGTTCAAGGCCCCGTGGGACACAGAGGATCAGAAAAGTGAGGACAACACCAGTGAGACCACAGCAGAGGAGAGTGACGAGAAGGACCAGAAGTCAAGAGAGGTGAGGAGGACTACCCAGCTGAGGTGCCACCATGAGGTGCCCAAGCAGGGCCTGCTGGTCTGTATTTTGTCCTGGCCATGTAACTCTGGTCAGGATGGCAGTCTCCACTCTGCTCCTTGAGAAGGAAGACATCCTAACATACAAGATATAAACAAAGCAAGAGAAAGACATGCATTATAAGATTTGTAACACATCCCATTTGGTGTGCTTTTAAGAAATCTGTAAGCTACTCCGAAGAATTGGATTTGTACAGACAGTTTTCACCCTTCTTATGTCTTTGTTACCTGACTAAAATTACCTTTTTTTTTTTTTTAGCTTACAAAAGTTCAAGAACTTGGCTATTACCAGCTGACCTTGCCATTATGTTTGATGGGAGGAATGATGACTTTAATGGTACTTTTCTACCTAATTAAGGTAAGGATAAAAATTGATTCAGGTTTCCTGAATGCATCCTGCCTTTGTAATAGATTCAGAACCCATGAATAGAAAACCCAGGTCACTTTGCCCTTTCCTACTGGTCATTCCTATTGAGTTTTTGTTTGTTTTGCTCCTTTTTTCTTTCGGTAGAAGGATCAAACTCAGAAACCCACACTTACCAGGCAAGCACGTGAACCACTGAGCTAAATCCCCAGTGTCATTCCTCTTTAGTAACTAAGGTAGAACAATTTTTTGCTTTTATTGAAATACGATTTTCAGGGATGAGGATTGGTTTATCTTTTGAGATGGGCCGTGCTGTGCTGTTGTGATGAAGCTGCTTGAGTTCATTATGTAACCCAGGCTGGAACTCACAGTGACCCTCCTGCCTCAGCCTCTGGAATGCTGGGACCACAGCCATGCATCATCATGCCTGGTGTTCTCCACAGATTTGTAAAGGCATTCCACTTCCAAGAGATCTCTGAAGAACTGAAACCAAGATAACAGGTCACTTGCGTACCTGGAGAAGTTAATTTGATGGCCAAATGATGCCAGGAAAGAAAATTTCCCCAACCCAAAACTACCGTATTGACAATTTGATGTCCTCACTGATCTCACGCCATGCTCAAAGAGCTGTCATCACTCTAGGGAGAAAGGACAGCGCCACAAGGCAGAAGTATGTCTTCCACATTCTTTAGCTTTGCATAGCTGCTGCTGTCTCTAGTGTGCGAGGCATTGTCTAATAGGTCCATGTCTAAAAAACGAACTCAAAAGGATCCTCTGGCCATAGACTCTGCTGCTACTCCATCCGACCTCACACCAGCTGTGAGGCAGGCCAGGGAGGCACAATGGCAACACCCCAACACAGGGACTGACTCACCCCACAGGGACTTCACCTCCACACTGCTGTCGGCCCCAGCCCTGCCACTGAGGCTTCTGTCAGGTCTCCCACAGGAGGTCCTATTTAGAGCAGCCTCTTCCGGAGCTTGCCCCTGTTTGCTTTTTGCCTCATTATGTAATAGTTTATTATTTTACTTTTCATCTGATAGATTATTAAGGGGTAATTTCATAGTCTGACAAACTTTACTCTCCTTTTCCAATTAAATAAAGTATCCTTAATTTATCTTTTTCACAGTTGTGGCAGCCTTCTGTCCCAGCCGCTTTCCAGGCCTTAGTCACATCATCCCATTCCTATATTTGCCTGTGCTCTGTCTATAAAGAATCCTTGTACTTTACCCTGCTTGTGGAAGTCTCACGAATATGTTGAAAGCCAACTCAAGCTCGTCCTCCTTCATGTAGTTTTTCCTAGACCTGCTAGCTCTCCTGAGTCAGTCCCCTCTTAAGAGACTCATGTCCATTTCTCAAGGTCCCTACTTCAAGAATAAAATATGGCACACAGGTTTTTGAAAGAGGGGTATCTGAGCATGAAACATCAAGGTCAGCATGGAATAAAGCTGGGTGTGGGGATAAACACCTGTAATCCCAGCATTTGGGAGACTGAGGCAAGAGGAGTGCTATAGGTTCATGGGTAGCCCATGCTACATAGCTCAGGGTCAGCCTGGACTACTGAGGTGCTGCCTCTGGGTCAGAGCTATTTCTTGTGAGGTCATGGGGCATTCTGATTTGGGGTCAGTCTTGTGAGACTGATAAGATTGCTCCAAAAGGAAGGAGTGAGTTCTCTTTTGGTGAGAGCAGGCACTAAAATCTGAGCCCCAGAAGCAGGGCCAACATGGGGTAGGATGCTCGCAATCCAGTTGCAACAAAATCATGGAAGGAATTCAGTTGATGAATTGAAGCACCACTCTAAAAGGCTGGAAGAGGTGGCATATGGCACCAATCCCAGTACTCTGGGAAGCTGAGGCAGGAGGATTTAAAATTCAAGCCCAGCCTGGGCAATTCAGTGGTTTACTAAGACTTGTCTCGAAAAAAAAATAAAATAAAAACACACAGAATGAAAAACCTGGCGGCTGTCTGTGTACCTACCTACCTATCTACCTACCTGCCTACCTACTTATATATTTCATTGCTGGCCTCTGAGTTCACTCCCAAGTACTAGATAAGGAAATGTTCCAGCTCCATGCAAAACTCTTAAGGTACTTTCAAAAAGTCAATGAATTATGACTAACAGGGTAGAATTCTGTCTCTAGGAAAGTTCGAATCACACAAAGTATCTTAGGCTTAAATTAATAAAAGGGCTGAATTAAAATTGGGAGATGGAACTGGATAGCCAATACTATTTTTTTTTTTTTTAAAAAAAACAGGTACGCTGTCACAGAAGACCTTTACAGGAAGTTGAAAAGTCCTCAAGGTAAATACGAGTCTGCCGATCTTTATTTTTTTTTAATGTATTTACTTTTTATCCTTTTGAGATAAGGTCTCACTACGCAGTCCCAATCTGAGGTTACTCTGTAGCCCAGGCTGGTCTCAAACTTACAACAATTACCCTGACTCAGCCTCCCCAGTGACAGGGCTACAGGCATGCATCACCATGCTCAGTTTTATGATCCTTAAAGGAGAAACTTATTACTAGTACTAGAGGAGAACCTAGAACTCTTTAAACCAGCTACTATTTAAATCCCTGGATCTCTCAGCACTGCAGCAGAATAACCCTTCCTTCCCTTGAGGTCCCACAAGGCTCCAAAGAAGCTGAGATGGGCGGGATAACCAGGGAGGGACCTACTTTCACCAGGCATCCAGTACGGAGGGCAGAGGTGGCAGGTTTGGGTACACCTGCTCCTGTGGTGGAGAGGCCTTTTTGGGGCTGCACAGGAAGCCCAGGTAGGTGCTAGGCTGGAGCTGGTGCAAGATCGAGTCCCTCCATCCTTCCTTGGAGGGGCGGAAGCTCATCTTCTCATGCTTCTGGTTCCCCCTTGTGAGCCTCCTCAGTTCTTTTACTCTAACAACGTGCATCCAGGCTGGGCCAGGTGCAGAGGTCTCCCCCAAAGACTTCCTGAGGCCCTTGGTAACAGATGGAGCCTCTGAAAGTCCAGCATTGTGGAATTGTTTGCAAAACTCCAGGCCTAGTTTGAACTTGCCTATTTCGAGCGTGGGGCAAGGTACAGGTTTTATCCTAATGAGACCTGAAGTGGGCATGCAGACTGAGACATGACAAATAATGCAAATCACTCACTAATTGTCTTGCACGTATGTTTTCCCAAAAGGGGCTTTTCTCCACATTGGCATGGAAGCTGCAAAGCAGAACAAGTGAAGCAGGTAAACTTGAGAAGCACTCGGTGCTGGGGTGGAAGAGGCAGGGGAAAGCAGAGGTCGTAAGTCCTTTTCTGTTTTACAGAAGGCTGGTACTAGGTTTTATAGCCTACTTTTGCTCAGGGATATATACAGACCCATCAGTATCTCCCAAATGAGAAGAATGGAAGCCAAGCTACATGATGAATCCTCTGAGGAGGATGAGATTTTCACAAAGCGTGCTCTGTAAGTGGTTGGGGATGACTTAAAGTTCCTAGCTAAAATGAGGGGGCAGGGAAAGTTTCATTGCCTTGTTATTGTTCTCCAGGGAGCTTTGTGAAGTCATCATAGAAGGAGGGCCCACAGAGTCGACCAATAAAGATGAAGACACCGGGGAGCTGGAAGAAGTAGTCATTCACTAAGCCCTTCCTGCTTCAGGAGGGATTGTAAATAGCTTTGCATATTAAAATACATAACACTTTGTAAAAACTTTTAGCTATATGATGAGAAATTCAATTGCAAGTAGTTAAGTATGTGTGAGCACAGAACAAGAGCAGAGGCAAAAAACAGTTGGGGTAAAGCTTGGATCGTCTGTGGCTGTCATGCTTCCAGGAGAGGCAGCGTGGTAGCTTCTCACTCTCATCACTCAACACAGTCAGCCTCTGCAACCAAAAGCACATCCTCCACAAGCAGGGTGGATTCTCAGTCAAATCATTATTGTTCTCATGCACTCTCCTCTGCTTTTGGAGAACCAGTTACACAGTGGTGTAGGGGAGCACACCCCTCTAACCCCAGCACTCTGGGAGGGGGAAGCAAGAGGATCACAAGTTTGAGCCCAACCTGGGCAAATTAGTGACTCACAAAACCCTGTCTCATAATCAAAAATAAAAGAAGGCTGGAATGCGGCTTATCATAAAGGGCTTAGCTCAATCCTCACTTACACAAAAAAGAATGAGCCAATCTATTCCCTGCCTACCTGGCCTCTTATTCTTATTCTCCCAGAATGCTGGGGTCATCAGAATATTTGGATTACTGAGCCTACTGGCTTCAGCGGTCAAGTCCTTGTATTTCCGTCCAAGTCTTAAAACTCATGTATGAATGTGTATTCCATCTTGGTAGCAGTTCTCCATCCTCACAAGCTAATAGAAAATTCCCATTGGTTTCTTTGTATGTTTGCTTTGTTTAAATCCTAGTACTTGGCCAAACAGCACAGAGGTGTGGAGGGATAACATAAAAAAAAGAATGCATGAGATCAGTCATTTACAGCCTTGGGCACTGATTTCAGCTATAGGTTGGGCCACTTATCCTTTCACCCATGGACTGCCCCAGCCCTCCTGACCCACCAAGGGCCATGTGTGTGCTGCTTGGTTCCTTCCAGCAGCTCTATCCAGATTTGCACCTATGCTCTTTCGGTCCAATCCAATGCCAGTCTGCATGATTCCAAGTGATAATTTGCAGATGAAGCAAGAGTTCCTCCACTTTATCTCCAAAGACAAAATCAATAAAGGATGTTTAGTACATCAGTGGGAGGTCAGTACATTGGTGAGTAAGAGAAGATCTCAGTGTACAAGAACTGAGAATCCACCTACTGACTGCAAAAGCATCCTGGTACCCTTTCATAGAGAGAAACAGTGCCAGAGGCTGCTGGAATGACGAGCCTGGCAGACACACAGGTGGCCAGTGTTGCTGCAATCCCACCCTCACCTGGCTGCCTACAAGGCCAGAAGAACTGGAGAATCCTTTTAACACTGAGATTGGAAATGCACACTCTAGCTTCTACTTCATTCCATAACCAAAGCAAACCACAAGGCAAGCCCCAAGCTGGGAATTGAGAAAGGACCTTCTACCCTCCATGACACCATGGACACCAGCAGGGGTGAAATTGGGTGGAGTAATTCTGTCTTAGGATGTGATGAGTCCTGGCTTAGACTTTGTTCAGCATGGCCCACCCCGGAGAGGTCACTTGAGAATGCAGCAGGTGCCTAGTGCTTAGAAACCCAACCATGCTTCTCTACTAGGTCAGGAGCCCTAACAAGGCAAGGATCAATTTCCTTCCTCTCCACATGGCCCATTCCGTGTCCCCCAGTTCCTAGCACCAAGCCCTGCCCTTGGGCATGACTCGGGAATATGAGTGACTGTGTGAATTCAGACTGTTCCTTCCACCTACACATGGGACTCCAAATGTCACCATACACTTATTGACCAAAGGCCAGCAGAGGGTGCTAGCTATTTGCCCCCTCTCTGTGAAGAGCCTGTACAATTAGGGGCTAAGATCTATCCAGCATCAAATCTGTACTACTGTCCACACGGCCCTTCAACAAGGTCTCAACGCATGGGCCATTTAAGACTGAAAATTTTCCTTTCCTGAAGTTGTAAGAGGAAGGCTGTTTAAGGGCACTGATTGGATCACTGGGGATGGTGGTATACATCTGGCATCCTAGCACTTGGGAGGCTGAGCAGCAGGATTCTGAATTTGAGTTCAACTTAGTGAAAACTTGTTGAAAAATAAAGTGAAAAGAGACTGGGATATGACTCACTGCAATGGTCCTGGGTTGAAGCCCTAATACTGCCAAAAACAACATAAAGCACAAGTCTCTCAGGGGTCCACAAGGCTTAAGGACAACTTTTAAGACAGAGATTCACCATGCAAACTATCACTGGGCAGGTGTGGTGACACACACCTGAAATCTTAGCACATGAGAGACTAAGGCAGGCCAGCCTGGGCTACGTAACAAGTTCAAGGCTGCCCTAGACTAGGCAGTGAGAACCTATCTCAAAAAGGCTTAACCCTAACCCTAACTGCCATGGCAGCCTTCCGTATAGACATTAATTTTTAAAGAAGAAGCATAGAGAACTGTAATTAATACTAAAGAAGGGAACTGTCACCAGGACAGGGATCAAGGTGGCAAGTGTGTTTTCAGGCCATGATTTATGGTCAGTTGTTTCCCCTGGTCATTAAAAGGGGACACACGCCAAACAGTCTCCGGCCCAGGCTGACAAAAGTGACACTGTAGGGAATCCAGGGTGGTTATGAGGTATCTTAGGTATAGTATGTCACAAATTATTAAAAACTGATGGCCCATGGCTTTACAGGTTGAATAAGAGATTGCCTCTGTGAATTACGAAGGAATAAGGCAATACGTCCCTTCACAAATGCATCTGGTTGAAAAGAGTTTGGTTTGCAACCAAAGCTTTTTGGCGAAATCTAGCTTCCATTCACAAATTCCAAGTGACAAACATTACTGTGGCCATCTTCCCTACATAAACAGGAATGCAACCAAATTCACCACAAATCATAAAACAAATTAAGTTCGTAAAGCAGTACCAGTGCATTTTGCTTTTGGGCGACTTGAGTGTACAGCTGGGAAAAGTAATGTTATATAATTTAGGCTGGTCTTGTCCTAGCCCTCCTCCTGCCTTAGCCACTACCGTGCCTGGCTTGAAGAGAATGTTTTCTAGTTTTTTTTTTGTTTGTTTGTTTTTTAATAAGGTAGTCTAGAACAATTTACCTTCAAGATAGAGGCATTTGGTAAGCGTCTAGAAACAAGGTGAAGTACTTGGTATGAGCTGCGTATTGTGGGTTATCTGTAGAGTTGCACAGCCTAGTATAGGAGCCACTAGCCACCCTATGACTATTGAAATATAAAGGAATACAAACTAAGTAAAATTTAAAGACAGCGCCTCAGTCACACCAGCCACATTCCAAAAGCTGTTCAGAAGGGAAAAGAAATGCTTTGCTGATCAGAGACAATGTTTTATTCCTTATTCACTACTGAGTTTGGACCGAGACTCCAAGAAGGGAAGAAATCTTAGGAGTCATCTTCCCATTCTAATTAGAGTATAAGTACTTATAGCTGAGAGAATTCATGAGTCTTTGTGACTAAAACAACAAAACTGAAAACTCAGATGATTATTTAATCAAGCAGATCTTTGTCAATGTTAGATACTGAAAGGGCACCATGAAATTTAAGATGATCCCTGCCACCTCAAGGAGGTACCCATCTACCTAGAAAGAAAAGACTTCTGCCATGACAGTAACTGCAGAGCCACCCTAGGTAGGTGCCACACTTAACCATGCCAAAAAAACCTACAAAAAAAACAAAAGGCAGCTCCTGGTACCTGGCTGCTGAATTGGTGGCCACTGGCTCGATCTTTCACAGCAACTAGCAAGACAAAACAGAACATTTTAAGTGAGCAATGAAACTTGCAGACTCATTGTTGTAGCATCTACCAGAATCTGTAGCTTGTGCCCTTGTTTCTTCATTCTTCATTTTCTTTTGTTTTCCCCTCTGCCATGCAACTCTCTAGATATATCTGTTGCAATAGTTTCTTGTCTTTCTTTCTTTGAGACAGGGTCTCACTGGATAGTTCAGGTTGGCCATGAACTTACTATGTAGACCAGTTTTACCTCACGGCAATCCTCCTGCCTCAAGCTCCCAAGTGCTGAGACTACGGATCACTATATCTGGATTCTAGATGTTTTTTTTAATGCCTATCTCAAGCCAGGGATTTAGCTCAGCGGTATGAGCACATGCCTGGAAAAAACAAGGTTGTGAGTTCGATCCCCACTAATCAATAAAATGAAATTCTTTAATGCCAATCTCTTTGTTGTAGATCAATGATTCTCAAACCAAACCCATAAGTTACATGTACCACTTTCAACTGAAATGTGGCCTCAGATAAACACGTCACCTTGTTATGCAAAGTCTGTAAGGCAAAAGGCAATCATGTGGCTCTCATGATTATAGTGATTTTCAATCACCAATGTCAAAGAACCAGTAATGCACTTTTCAAAGAATTTTACTTTGGACCCTGACCACACAGCCCCCCACACGCACACACCATCCTTACTTGCAACCTGGTGCATCTCCTCCATACATGCTCACATCACAGATCGGTAGTTCTTACTCACTGAACCAATCTATGAGAAATGAGAACACATTCAAGTTAAATCAGGAGCATCTTGTGGTTCCAGAGAGTAAGAGAGAGCTCAATAAAGGTGTGAACTTGCTGAAGGAAGGGCAGCTCAACCTGAAGTCTGACATAATCCAAAGATGGAAAAACCTAAACGGCACAATAAATATGCTATAATTCATGCTCTTATTTCCCATGTACTCTGCTTGTGGATCAAATCTCTACTCTCTCCTCCCAAAGGAAAGAGGTAAAATGCAAAGAAAGTACTGATTTGCTATGGCCAGTACTGATGACAGATGTGGGGATGGATGACTGAGGGCTGAGATAAAATGAGACTCCGGTATCTTGACAGAAATAACCACATTTGTATTCACCACACCTCAGTCAACACATTGCATGCACACCCACACACAGTCATGCACACTTATATACTTTTTCTCTGAAACATCAGTGTATGGGGGGGGCATCCTTGGGTGATTTTTTCAGACACACCTCCCATGAAAATAGCACAATACTCCGATTCAGATGAAAATGTCAGCCTTTTATTTCCAGTCCTCTCCTGGCTGGAAATTGATTTCCTCCTCATTTCCATCAGATGGAAAGCAAACAAAAACCATGTGAGAGAGCCCTGAGCTGTGAGCAGTAACACTCTAAGGAAGTAAAGCTCAGACAGAAGTGAGAACAAATGGGAAGGGAGCAGCCTGCGCCCTGTGGTCCATCCAGAAAGAAGGAGGGTCTGAGAGGTGAGCCCCCCAGACAATCCAGGTACAAGCACAGGGCTTCCAATCTCTCCCTGCTGCATACATCACCCAAACCAGTTTGCAGTTTGTTTGTTTTTTAAAGAATAGCAGCCCAATGAGTGAGGGGTACAGCGTGAAGGGGCTGCAGACCTCTAGCTTAGCCACTTGGGGAGACCACATTTTATCTAAAAAGCACCTCTGGTTTGCAAAAAGGAACCTAGAGTCCCACTCCAGAACAAAACAGGTCCAAATTCTGCTTCAAGCCTGTTTGGACCTGAGCTTCTCTCTTCCATGAGAATAAAAAGAGTGTATGTCACGACTTTAGCAGACCTGGCTCATAACAAATCCTCAATTAACATTAGCTGTCATACCATCATCATCAAACTATAATTCCTGGGGCTATCTTTGTATGGAAAGCAAAGGAGAGGAAAAAAGACTCTGCTGTTGTAACACAGCCACTCAAATCCAGGTGGGTATATAAAAATGGATTCTATTGTACAATAGACATAGACTCTGTATGGTAATCAGCCTCATTGCTTTCTCCATTCATTATGGATGGTAACCATCCTGGATGGTTACTTTAGGAAGACTAATGGTGAAAATGAGTGGGCAAGGGTAGGAGGAAGGGTTCTCTGCCCAGCCAGGCTTAGGCATCACTGTATAGATTGCTCCTCCACCCTTCCATTTGATGGATTTGTTCTGTAATCTCCCATTCAATCAGAAGCCTAGTATTTACCCAGTGGAAGCAGTATTTGTGTACGTTACCATCTAAAATCAAATAAGTATGGAGACAGAAAAGAGGTTTCTTGCTTATGAGGCATGAGAGCAAACACAGGCAGCTCTTTAAAGAGCCATTGAGTTGATCAATACCCTCTCCCATTTCCATTCTGCACCTTAGGCCAACAACACAGGCTTAATAATTATTTTCCATCATTTTAGAGAAACCTAAAAAGAAAAGGTCGCTATTTCTCAGTTCTTTGTTTGCCAAACATAGATTATTTCCTGGGGTCCCTACCCAGACAGTAGTGAACCAAGTCAGCCCATCCTAGGTCTCTTGGAGCTGGCCTTAGAAACAAGATACTGTCTGCCCCAGAAAGCACTATAGTCACAGAATCTGATTGTCTGGCCCAGGCCCCACCTTCTCTGCCAAGAGCAAGCTGTGGCCAGTTAGACATTCTTTTTTTCTTTATCCAGAACTGAAAAATAAATATCAAACCCTGTGGTAGGTCGAGCAGGAAGGAAGAGGGTACTGTGGGCTGGTTGGTATCACCATGAGCTCCCTCGCCCTTACTCCTCCACAGCCACCACGGAGGGGCACCATGAGGCCCACTTTGGAGACCACAATCCTCTCTCTGCTTGTCCTGTCCTTAGGGAACTTGAAGGAACAATGATACCAAAAACTTATAGGAATCTTACTTTTGTGCAAAAGCAAGCTCAAGTAACCCCTGACAATAACTAGACTGATAAGAAGGAGCAGAAAGCCCTATCACTGGGACCTAAATGCATAAAGCGTTTGTCTAGCTTAGCACAAAGGCCAGAGGTCAATAATCCAGCTGGCACTGCCAGGGGGAACTGGGTACCTTTGGGTTCACTCTTAGCCATGGGGACTAGAGCCCAAGTTCTGCCTTGCTGTTACAAGAAAGAACAGAGAAGAGAACAAAGGGAGAAGAGAAGTCTCCCCAAATGATATGTTAGCTATCACTTGGCTTCCCCTGGTTGCAAGAGGGGCAGTAGGTTGAGGATTTAAGAGCCATGTGTGTTCAACTGGCTGGTTCAATCAGAACTGCAGTTTTGCTACACAGCATGAAGGAGTATATGGGTATGAGGTAGGTGTCATGGTCTGACTGTTGGTGTTCCCTCTAAATTTATATTGTAGGGCCAGGCGTGGTGGTGCACTCCTGTAATCCCAGCACTCAGGAGGCTGAGGTGGGAGGATTGTTGCAAGTTTGAGACCAGCCTGGGCTACAAAGTGAGCCCAAGGCCAGCCTGAACTGCATAGCAAGACCCTGTCTCAAAAAGACAAAACAAAAGCAAAAGAACATAAATTTATACTGTAAAATGCTAACTGTAAGATGACAGTATTAGGAGGCAGAGCTTTTGGAGACAGATTGTGTCTGAGATTAGTATTCTTCGAAACAAGGCTTGAGAGAGACCCCTGTGCCTTCCACCAAGTGAGGACACAGCAAAGAGTGCTCTCTATAAACCAGGAAGTGGATCCCTGATACACAAGGCTGAAGCACCTTGTATCTTCTCAGCTCCCAAAATCATCAGCAGTAATGTCCTCTTGTGTATAAACAGCCCAAATGGACTGAGACAGTAAACGTCAGTTTAGCTGCTTTAACAAAATTAAGAAGTAATGACAAATAGCAAAGAACGGACAATAGTTTTTTAGGTAAAATTCCTGATAGTTGGTCTATGGCGGGTCTGAGGAACAGAACAAGTATTAGCAAGGACTGAGAATGTTTAAAGAATTAGAATTTTACAGGAATCATTCTACAGGGAGAAAAGTCTTAAAATGCCCTAGTCCCCAGGACTACGACTGGGACAGGCCATCACTCCTGTGACTGCATGCATTAGCAGCAGGTTGACCTTAGCCAGGAGATAACCTCGCTGATTTTTTCACAGCAGTCCAAAAGCAGAGAAATTTTCTGGGTGATGGCTAAAAAAGAAGTCATCTGCGTGCCCTGACTGCCTTGAGATGGTGCTGTAGGACACCAGAGGGACTGTGGACAGCCTTATGGACATGAGCTTGGTCGTGGCTAGCAACTAGCCAGGATCCAGGACCAACCTCCTACAAAGCCACCAGATTCTGCCTGCCAGCAGGAATGTGCAGAAAAGGGCCTGCCAGATCTAGATGGGAACACTCCTACAACTTTAGCCCTAACAGAGATGCTAAGAGAGAATCTAGTGGTGTCCTCCCAGAGTTCTGACCTACAGCACTTTGAGCTCATAAATGGGTGGAAGTACAGGCCTGTAACTCCAACACTCTGAGACGTTGAATCAAGAGGATCACAAATATAAGCCCAACCTGGGCAATTTAGCAAGACTCTGTCTCAACATAAGGGCTGGAGATGTAGCTTAGTGTGAAGGGTCTGGGTTCTAGTACTAGAAACAAACAAACAAAAAACCAGTGAGGTAAGGATGCTATTTAAAGATGTTGCATTTGTGGCCATTTGTACACAGCAAGAAAAAAAAAATTTATTATCTCAGGTCAGGTAAAGTGGATCCCAGGACAAGTTCATGCAAAACCTTCCTGGAGGTCACTGAGGTAGTTAGAAAGAAGTCTTCTGCCACAGTGAAAAGCCCTGAGACAAAATTTAAATGAACTACCTGCAAAAGCACTGCAGAAAGTGAAGAAGCAAAGAGCAGAAACCGCTCAGGAAGACATTTAGAAAAGAGCCACACAGTGCCAGCACCTACGGTAATCTCCATAAAAATAAAATACTGCAAAAGAAAACACTCCTGCTTCTCAGCAACAGGTAGATGGAAATCAGAATCACTTTAGCAATAGCTAAAGCATAACAGCTCCCAAGATGAATGAACACCTTCATTCAGTAAAGCAATAAAGTGGTGGGCCCGCCAGAGAACTCAGTTGGCCAGCCACCTGTGAGGAGAGCACATGTGCCCAGAAACAAGGAAATTAGCATCTGTTCCCAGGCGCCTTTCCCTCTGGCAAAGCCTTGGAAATGGCAACCAGCAGTGACTCAGTAGGTCATCAGGGGGAAACTGACAAAATGTCAGTCCCTGAGCTGCTCGATCATCATTGGTTTTCCAGCTGGAATAAACCTTGGGAGCCTTCCAGCCATGCTCCAGTCTGCAGATGCTGGGAGAATGTGGGTTTCCCTCACTTCCTGGGGTCAGGCCCATCTGTACACCAGTCACACAGATCTTCCTGCCATCAAAGGTCTCCCTTCCCTGCCTTCCATCTCTGACACCCTG